GTGATAATTGTTTTTTTGCCAACTGATCTGGTGAAAGAAAAACAGTTTTGCTATAACTGATATTTTTTTAATCCGGAACTTGGTAAAATGCAAATTTTTGCCCATAATTTATATCACTGACTGGAATTGTAATTCTGCAATATATATATTGTAAACGTAAATTAACAGTTGAACAGTTGCAGCAATGTGCCATTCATGGGATGGTTGTGGTGGTAATTTGTGCTCTCCCGGTATACCTTTATCCTTAGAAGTAATTTTCAAACGATAATAGTTTGTAGTACTATTTAAGAGCAGAAAATTTTTTAAAAAATTTTGATAATGAAAGAATCCTGGAAGAGTGGCTAATGTTTATCAATCAAAAGACCTTATATTCAAAAAGAGGAAGTTGTGAAGACAGGAGATTCATTTCTATTTTCAAAATCATGAAAATTTAAATTAAAATGCATAGATTTGGGATTCATAGCTCAACCAGGTTCTTTTGCTGTCGGCCTCGTATTTTGTCGTTTTTCCATTTTCTAGCCTACTTTTAGACTCATTCGCCATAGCGATAAATGCTGGGTGTTATTATTAAAAATTCCACCTCATTTCTATTTAGAGTTGATACTCATGCTTGATTGCTATGCATTTTTCCCACAATTTTTTATTCGTTGTTTTTTCTGCGTATCTCACTTGGCTTTTTTCTTTTCAAAATTCATTTTAATTTCACTTGGAAATGTATATTGACCTATTTATTTATTTATTTGGAATCTTATTTTTGAACTTACTTTATTTAGAAGTTTTTGGCAATGTTTATAGGTTTATTGAGTGTTGATCAGCAACAAAACGCAAATATGTTGCTCCTAGAAGCTGCTGCTGCTGCTACAGCTGCAGGAACGATACGCGACCTACTAGGTTCATTCTTCTTTTTTTACATTTTCAAAATTCTTTGTTGAAGGCCTATACGAATTTATAAGCATATAAAATTCAAAGAAAATTTTTCATCATACAAATAATACAAATAAGATCATACAAATCATACAAATAAGTTAAGACTTGTTTACTTCTTTGTGAAACGAACATCTGTCCCGAAAAATATGAAGGAATTGCAGGGATTACATCTACAAACGGTAGTGATGTAACAGCAGCTGATATTATGAGCAGTCAGAAGCCGAAATTATCTGCAGTTCCATCAACCTCTGCAACAGCGGAAATAGTTGCTACTAGTTCTCCAAATATCTTTTTTAACGATGATGATGATGCAATCAGCAAAAAGCACGATAGGCATTTAGGGGATCGTTCTTCACTCAATGGTAGAGCAACATCTGCTGGTGAAAATGTTAGTACGCTGAATGTTGATCATTTTTCAGGATTCATGATAAATATGCGGTTATTTGCTTCCGTACTTCTATCATTGTAATTGGGTGTTTTTTTGGGATGCTTTTTTTCTTCATTATCCATTTGTCCTTATTAACTTTTACCATAATGTCTCTAAAGGAATGCAGGAGACTTCTGAAAACGAAGATTTGCAATTCTGTTTTTATTATGTGTAATATCGTTACAGTTGGGTGATGCAAAACGTCAACCGAATAAAGCAGTGAGGTGCAAAATCAGCGATGTAAAATTAAACGTGAAAAGGCGAGCAAATGAAGAGGTTTCTTCTCCCATAATGTTTTGAATACGTCATGTAGTTTTTTTATGCATCTATTCTGTTAATCAAAACGTCATCAGGAAAATGAAATTTTTAGGATAAGATGGCTCTTAGAGAAATTTCTGGAGATACTAGTTCTTTCTGAAGTCTCGCATTTTTGTCGATATATTTATTTCAGACTTTGAGCAATGCAGCACGTGCAATAACCAAGGAAGAAAAGATCGATCTGGACGAGCTGGAAAATTTTGCTCAAACATTCAAAAAGCAGCGCATCAAATTTGGTAGGGTTTATTACATTAGTTTGGTGGACTGTCGGTGGTATACAATTTTTTTGAAACTTACGACTGTTCTCAGACATCAGCATGCTATAAAACATATTTTCGATTATTCATCTTTAAAAAATAAGAGTGGATAGGGTTACCTCACTGAAAAAATGGAAAATTTATAATTGCACTATTGTTTTTCAACTTGCAAGAAATTAAAAATTGTTAGATTTGGCTGTTATAGGTTTCACTCAGGGTGACGTTGGTCTTGCCCTTGGGCGCCGTTATGGTACTGACTTTTCACAAACAACTATATCGCGCTTTGAAGCACTAAATTTGTCCTTCAAAAACATGTGCAAATTACGTCCATTGCTCAAAGAATGGTTAGAAGATGCAGAAGCGGCACTGGCCAATGGTGCAACAATCAGTGATCTTTTGGACCCACCCTCTAAAGAGCCCACTCCACAAGTTCGTTTAACGGATTTGTTTCTATTGCGACATGTGTGTTTGCTGACAATTCTTCTATGTACCAAGACATATTTTCTACGTATATCTAATTTGTAATAAGCTGGTACTTTGAGTCTGCTTTTGAGAATGCAAATATTAACTGTTTTTTAGCAGGTTTTCGCTCATCGAAATTGCCCTTATTTTCAGTGATTCAAAATTTATTTCCAGTATATGTTTTAGTCAATAACAAATCTGAAATACTAGCTTTGCGGTACTTTTTTCGGCAAACAGCTTTATTTTATATCTTGTTCTATCTATCATTTGTATCTTATCAATTCTATTTCGCTAATGCTTACACGATAACTTTTTTCTTGGAATTTTTTAGAGCACTTTCAATTCCTTCCAAATCGTTTTTTAATTTTGGGACTGTTCATACCTGAGTTTCAGAAGAGCTTCGTGACGGGAATATTCAGAAGTTATACTTAGAAAGTTAGTTTTTGTATATTCGAAATGGAAAGAAGAATTATTTTGAATCTTCATTTTTGCATCCTTAATCTGAATCATTATTACATAGATCTGCGGTATTGATGCCTATTTTGGAAAAATTTCTCACCAAAAACATTTTTTTACCAATGAGAAATCTTTGAAAGCATTATCATTTCTTACCCCTCTATTTCGAAAATAATTTGCAAAACAAAATTGCTCTGGTCTGGTGGGACAGCTCTTTAAGCTAGCCTTTAACAGCGAAAGTGAAATTGCATCCGAAGAATCGAATGACTTAGAGAAAATATTGATTACGAGCAGAAGCATTATAACTCTTTCAGTGAGCTCTGATACACATGGGATCTGATACACGAGACTTGCCTACAGTATAGTAAGATTTTTAAAATGGTCAATACAACTAGGATTTATAATGGGAGATTTGTAGAGTTGTTTATCAAACTGGGTAAAAAAAATAAAATTTGGATAAGAATAAATATGGTACTAACGAATGATGATGAGTAGATTGTCAAATTTGCCTTGAGCATGACACATTAACTTAGCGGATATTGTTTTAGTTTTTAAGGAATAAAAAAATATATAGAATCTAAAATTTAAGATCGCATATCAAATATGTTCAAATAATTGTGAAACGAGAAATTAAAATGCCATGTTATGTCCCTTGTACTTTACTTCTAGTCATATTATCAAATATGTTTTATCTTTTTAAAATCTCCGAAAATCCTTTAGTTTATTTGCACTAAATATGAATTAGGTTAAGACTATGCTTTGCAGTGGAAATCCTTGATCATTATTACTAAAGCCTTTCCTCACTTTCCAATTTTTTATAGTGTTAATAGTATTTAACACCCACGTGGTCGTGTTGTACTGAATTGTGGCGAGGAAATCACAAAATTAACGTTGTTAATGTTTTTAGAAACTATCTGTTATTTTGTTTTATAGCCTAATCATCGATATCGTACTAGCGTTTCCGGCATTTTGCTCTTTATTTCTTTACATAGGGTTATTAAATACCAGTGGTCAGCAGATTGTTTGGATTTAGTGATGCAGTTCTTCATTTTGTGGGAACTGAGAGAATCCAATGCTCCGGAGGAGTTTTTATATTTTTATTAAATTTTTGGCAATGATAGTCTATTGCAATAAGCAATAGTTTAAGAAAATGGAAATTTTTTCCGGAAAATTAATTAATTAATTTGATTAGTAATTGATGACTTAGTAATTGTTGCTAAATGCCACTACAGTTGACAGTTTAGCAATTGAAACTATTTAAGTTAATAACTATCATTTATGGTGTAAGGGGAAGTTTTTGTTAACCTATTCGATAAATTTCTGTTTTATGCGAAAAAAAATCAAAAATTTGAACTACTAGTATTTGCTAATGTATAAATTAATGGTAGGCATTACTCGTTTTGTTGTATTATTTTCATTTCCAATCAAATTTGTATTATTCTGGAAATGTGGCAAATTTGGATTATTCTGAAAATGTGGCAATCCTTTTATGCTTTTTGCTTTGTATTTTCTTTTGCTTTAAAATCGATGTCAGAGTTGCTTTTTGCCTGGAGATCCTTCGAACACTTCAGCAGCTGGAGTCCGTTTTTTCATTGTATTATGGATATTCATTCAAATTCTTAATTCTACCTTCAAGTTTTCTAATTTAATTCTTTATTTACAGTGTGCCTACGCTTATAGCTTTATATTTCATATAGAGCGTCACATTGAGAATTTCGTCTTCGTTTGCATCAAATTTCTCATATCTATTAGGAAATAGTATTTCAGTGCATGGTGTCTTCTTACTTTTCGTTGTGCTTTTTTCATTATCAAATTATGAAGATTATGAATACAGTAGCAGTGATTAAAGTTCTAAAGAATTATATTATTAAGGTGGAGTTTTTTTTTTTGAAAATTGAGCTGGACAGTTGCATCTCTAATGATCTAAAATATGTTCTGAAGGGGTGTTTTGATAGTTATAACATTGATGAAAATTTTTTTCAGTATCCGACATCGGTGATACATTTGCCACTGAATAATAATAAACAGAGCTCTGTAGTGAACATTAGTGCAAGCAGTTGTAATAGAATGCCAAGCGACGAATCGCCGTCACCAAATGGATCTATCGTGTGCAGTTCAGGTGTTGGTGGTAATATTCCGCTGAAAAAACGTCGAAAGCGAACCAACTTGGATTTAGCACAACGTTCTGCATTGGATGCTTACTTTGACATGAACCCACGTCCGGACCATGATAGGATGGCGGAAATTGCAGAATTAGTAGGGCTAGATCGAGATGTAAGTTGTTCTTAATTGCTGTATAGAGCTTTGATTAACTCAAATTCAATTCACGGATTTCTATAATCATCTCAACGATAGCAACCGTATGAAGTGATCGTGGTTTGTTAGGTGGAGTATAATTCCCCGTGATGGTTTGGTATTCTCTTCTCCCAACTCACATTTATCTCCTTTTTGCGTCGATGTTCTCTGAAGATTCCATTTTTAGTTGAAGTGACTCATTTATTCCAGGTAGTTCGTGTATGGTTCTGTAATCGACGCCAGAAATTTCGTAAAGAATAATAATCAATACGTTAGTTATACAGTTCGGTTCATCCTCTTCATTTCAGTATCACGCTTCGATTCGCTTTTTTGCCTTTTTTTGCCTCAGAAGTCTTTCTCGATACAGAGTAGTCATTTTCTCGTTATTTTCAAATTCTATTATTCTTTGGCTTTTTGTTCAGGTAAAATAATTCAGCGGGTTTATTGCGATTTGCCTTCTTGCAACTCATTCTTTCACTTTTTCTGGTGGGAATGAGCACTGAAAGCTCAGTAACGCCTAAGGAAATAAAATCACAAGTTCGTGGATTTTTAGACTTTCGGATTGTATAATTTTCAAAATAGTTTCCTTGTATTCAAGGTTTATTTATTTTTTGTAAACTTTATTTTTAGCCTCATTGGTCTTTTTTAACTAAACGAGTTCTGTGCTTTTTTAAAAGTCGACTCTCTGTCATCGCTGTTTTTGATTCCGTGAATTTTTCCTTTCATGTGCCTTCTCAATTCTTTTTTCTGCGTTTATATTGTCTCTATTTCTTATTGCTTAATCTGCTCCTCTTTCGTAGCATTTTATCTTCCCTTTATCATATAATGCATTTTTGGTAAAAGCGTTTCTTTTTTGAAAATTTGGTTCTACTCCTACGTGTGTTCTCTCCGTTATTTATTATGCCAATGTATGCATATTTGTTTCTTTTCCAGGTCAGGTTGCTGAGAACTGTTGATCTTTTCATGAGATTAAAATAGTTCTGTCACCACTGCATCCAGTTAAGTTCTCTTCCGGTAAACTTTGCTCACTATTAATTTGTCACTCTTATATGAGTAATTTCAGTTATCCAACATCTTCTCATTATATTGATCCCAATAATAAGTTTCGGTTTAGTTCTTCACTAAGCATTTGTGTCAAGCATTTACGGATTTTCTGTTATCAGCCATTTGCAGGATAAAAATTATTTATATCTCTTTCATGGAGTCCCCAATATTCTCTGGATGCGGTTTATTCATTGGTATGACTCTAGATGAAACTAATATTTCGTTCTTCTTGTATAAGAAAATAGAGCTGATTTATTTGTTTATTAATGAAAATTTCGGAACTTGTCGAATTATCTGACAAGAGTGCTGCTCACGTAGCAATATAGGCTTTTAATATTCATTTAGCATAAGAATTATGTATTTGTAAACTGTGTTCCATAGATTTCGTTCGTTTCAAATTCAACAGATATACCGGTATTGGTTGAAAGGATTGTTTGCTCTAATGATTGTATCAACTTTGTGTGTTTTCGTTCGAAGTCCCTGAAATTCAGCAATGAATTAGGAAGCAAAGTTTTTTTTTGATAGAAAGTTCAGATTTCGAGTTTCTATAATATTTGCAATTTTGACTCTTGATTTACACTCCTCGCCTATTCCTTATCAAGATAAATTTTTCTGTAGATACAAAGGATGCAAATTGGTACTTGTACTTTTAGTCTGGAACGGTATTCCCCGGTAGATGATGAAAAGGAAATGCGTATAAGTTTGTTTAATAAGAAGAATAAACATTTCGGCAATTATAGTTTCAGAGGCAATGCAAATTGATTATCAGGTTATAAACGTCTGAGATACATATATATGATGGTAATGCTATATGTACCTCCTTCGGGACTATTTTCCATCTGTTATAAATTCATCTTTTTTTGCAAAAATATAACTTCTTACAATAAGTTCACATTCATATGCTTATTGCTATTTTCTCTGTACTATTATAATTTCTGGTGATTTTTATCCTGCTCGTCTAATGTTGGTGGTTCATTCAGTCTCACATTTTTTTGCGCTCCAGTTGAAAAGTTTTTGGTTTCAACCGTTATTTGTATGTGTGTTTGCTTTTGTGCATCCAGACGACGAGTATATGTTTCGATTATTATGGCCAGTTTTTGTTTATTATAATAATATCGCGCGAGTAATACGATTTATTTTCATCATTTTTTTTTTGTTCAATTTTACTTTCTTTTGTTTAAAATCAAATGAGATAATCGTCATTGCTGTTATAAAGTAGTATAACAATAATAACGCTTATAGTTCATTTGGTTAACACATCGTCCTTCCAGCAAATCATTTTTTTTCCGATTTAAAATCCAAAAGTTATAAGATATTTTTTTATCGTTGTCCAACAATTATTAGCAGGAGCAACAATAAAGAAGATCAATTAATTAGAAAAATGAGAAGAAATTAGAAATGAAAGATATGGATACTATTCATCGACTCATCCATCATAGCCTTTTAGTTTTAACTACTGCAATCCTGAATTCACATCTGTTGCTTTAATCTATAAATGAATAGTAGGAGAAATAAGTGATTTTCCCAGTTAACGGTTGGTTTTGTACACGTTGGTTCGAGAAGAGCAGAAAAGCAATGGGAAGACGATGAAAGTTTTAATTTTTTAAGATGAGAACTGAAAATTACTTGAAGTAAAAGGTAAACAGGCCAATGTTTTGCCTTATTTAATCCTCGATCAATTTGTCCCGGGATTTTAAGCAACATTATGAGTCGTGAGCATAAAGCTTATATGGTGCTACCTTTGAAATTTCAAGGTTTAAATTCATTATCGTCCTCGGTAGAAAATGACAATATATTTTGAAAGTGAAAGATTTATACAACATTTCATAATAAAGGATATTATGCAAAAACTAAATTAACTGGTCACGCATATTATTTAATAACTGGGAAACGAATTGCATATAAAATATTTCAAAATTACTTGAGGTGTCATCCTGGTCATTATAATGAATTACTTGAAATGCACATCATCATGCTACTTGAGGAATTGATGAAATTTATGTGCAGGAGAAAGTTGGAAACTATTGAGTGAACATGTCAATATATAATTTTGATGTCTGATCGACGATATGTTCTGTGTATTTTTTTCCTACCTTAATTAACAGTACTTTCGATTTATTTAAAATTCTGATAGTCCTAATGCCATAGATTGTAATTAATGTACTTAGCTATTATTCAGCAATATCAGTTTATTACATTCATTTCGGTATTCCTTTAACATAATTGAAAGGATACATATAAAATTAAGAAGATGTAATAATTAATTGAATATGTACAATAATGCAACTGAAATACTTCAGACAATATTAGTCGAGCCGACAAATGGTTTATTATTTCTAAAAAAATTCATTCTGAATAAAATTATTTCTAACAAAATTTATGCTATCGGATGATTACTCAATGTTTCATAAAAAATTATTGTTAAATAAATTTATTAAATAAACATTTAACTCATTCCAATGGTATACCACTTTGATGACAGTACAATATTACATTCAAATTGAACAGACATGTTGCATCACTTCTAGCGATAGTATGAATTCCCTGTCCTGCTGGATCACAAAATCGTAAACAACGATCACCAACTCCTAGTTTATTGTCCGCTAACTTCAAATGTTCACAACATTTACGATTATCCTGAAATAAAGAACCAATAATCATAAATGAAACTAAAATTTTATATGCTTCCCAGAAAGGGTTGTAAATTATGCCTGCCCTATTTTTGCTCTTTTTTTTTAAAGTACCGATAACAACTGACTCTCTTAATGGCGCTTTATTTAAACTTTGGATGTAGAAGTAATGACTCCCAGAAAGCGGAATTATTATCAGTGATAATTCGCAAGAGAATATTGAAATGTTCATTAAGAATTAGTATTACTACTATTATTATTCAAATAAAGTAGTTTTGAAATGGCATGAATGGAAAGAAATATTAAAAATTCAAGCTAAATGTATTCTAATTGAATAAAGTTAAATATATTCTAATTAGACGAAAAATAATTTGAAATTTAAAATAACATTACTAATTGCTAAAATCTTTTCTTCTAATTTTATTTCTTATAATTTTTATTTAATTAGACAAATTTTTGACAATAAATAATTTGATATTTACCTGATTTTGTGAAGCACAATAGAGTACAGCACTAATATGTGTCAGGTTACATTTTCCAGATAAAATCGTTCTTAACAGCTATAAATTTATTGCTGTCAACATAGCATGCTGGATGTTATATACAGGAAGATAAATTGATTTAATTTAATTTATAAAAAAAGTGAATATAATATAAAATTAAAAGTTAATGACTTTTTTTTAAATGAGAATTATTATCTGAAAATTCGTTGCTAATTAATTTCACTTTGAATGAGTGAAAGGAATTTTGCTAAATTTGAAAATTACGAGAATTTCATCAAGTTATCTTTAATAAGTTTTTTCAAATCATTTTATTATTAATCAATAAATGATTCTTTTTTCTTACTATATTTCGAGCTGAATTTTCATCAGTTTCGTACTGACATAAGTCGTGACAGCCTTCTGGTAGGTATAGTTGACAGCATTGACGAAATAGCATATCAGCTCGACTCCTTGTAACGCATGGATTATAATCTGTTTCTGGTTGGCTGCATTTCCTCTGGCATAATATTACTGTTAAGTGGAATAGGATAATTATGAAATGATTTTATTGTTTAACAAAATTATCGAATAATTTAAAAGAAGGAGAAGTTGATTATGATTTTGGAAAATTAATTTATTCATACTTTGAAGATCGATAAGTAATCAAAACAAATATTTGAGCATTTTAGGAATTTTATTTAATGAAAAAAAGAAAATAGAAACTCCCTGTAAGAACCTTTTCTTCCTCTGCTCTGCAAATTACATCAAAAAAGCCAACAATAGTAATTAATGAGAGAATAATTAACTTCGAAAACATTACGTTCGACGATTCTAAAACACTCAACTTGGATTTTTGTATTTAATTAGATTTGCTTCAGGTGTGTATCACAAGCGCATTTATACACAAATAAATTTAAGCATATTGCGCATAGTATATCTGAATACATATACATAAATTATATGCAGCAGGAAATATTAATTTTTTTTCCTCTACAGATTTAAATGAAGAAAAAAAGGAAGAGAAAAATAAAAAGTTATTTTAGGCGCAGAATTAATATTGTGTTAGATGCAGGAAAATACGAAATGTATTTGTTACGGATGGATGTATCGGTTAGAGATGAATCATGACATATGACAGTTAAATCTGCGATGCCTGGAATTAGGGTCAATTTTATTCCTGCAAAATGGATGCAAATCCACAAAATAGATAGAATTTTGTAGAAGGATACTAATTCTTTCCCATTTATCACTTCGTTTCTTAATCCAATCCATTTCAAAACAATCAATTTATCAGTGCCAATGATCAAAATAAAGATTCGTTTATACATTTTGACCCAAATTAGTGGAAAATTTTCTCCCTTTTTTCAAAGTTATAATATTTTAATTTAAAATATTTGTAATGAGATAGAAATTGAAATCTTATCTTTAGCTATTATTATTCTTTATCCCATTATTTCATTACAGATTTCGATTGTAATTTTGTATTAATATCATTTATTTTTCCACTAACAAAAATTGCTATTAAATTAAGCATTTTGAATTTTCACTATAACATAAATAGTTTTTGAACTTTCCTCCTCCTTCTTTAACTGAATGTAGTAATTATTTTATGGAGTGAATACATAATCTCACAATTTTCAATCGTTTCACGTTTCGCGTTTTTCGTGCGATCAGTTCTAGGAAATATGTTGAATACTTATTCGTGGAACTTCTAGCTTTTCCATTCTTGATTTCCGAATTAGCTGTGGCTGAAACTATTTTGCTGAAAAACTAATTTTGTTACTATATTGTTCAGTCGCTATGAAATTTTCATATTAACATTTGAGAAATAAAAATAAGCTGTTTTAAAATCCATTCAGTTCAAAAATATTGTAATAATTATTATTGTTATAATTATTATTATAATCTTCAATATTATTGCATTGACAATCCTTGTTAACGATGGTACTTGACCCATTTTCTTCAAACAAAAATATCTTCGAAGCATTTGTGTTGCAAATTTTTGTTTACAATTAATTGAGCTTGCAAAATTAATCAAAAATACTATTCAATTTCATTAAATCGAAGATGAGATTTTAGAATTCTTAATTTTCGGCGATTAGAGATAATGAAAAAAGCTTAAACGATGAAACTTTATTACTTTTCAATTCAACCACTTTTGTATGAACCTAATTTCTATTAACTTCTAGTGGATGGTTCTTATATTAAATTAAATAATCAATAACATCACAATTTCTAAATCGATAAACGAATCAGTTTTCCAATCGGTTCAATTAAAATATTCTCCAACTATTTTAATTGAATTACAAAATAATTAAAATATGTCGAGCTTTAAACGTGAACCTTTTTTTCCTCTCTAGTAACAAATTTGAACCAACAGTAATTATCCTTTTTCCTTCTTAACCATCGTCACTGCAATTTTTGAAGCCGAAATATATTAGCTAAGAAAGACAATACTTCCTCTGAAATCACTGCACAAATTCGGTTGATAAATTTTGGCGCTGTGCATTTGCGGCAGACTTTGATCATTTTAATATATTTATGAATAAATTTTCTTCAATATGACCGATTTCACGTCTTTCGATTACTCACTGAAAATTTTCCTTTAAAAAATAATTCAAAATGATTTATTCCATAATTTTGATTCAATTTAACAGGAACAGTTAAATTTCATCGGTTTCCGTTGAAACCAAATTTAGTGAGTACAATTTGAATTAAATTATCGGTGCGAAATTAATAACATAATCACGTGGATTCAACGTAATGCAATATTGATGGAAGAATGGTATTCCAAGCATAACTGTGTTTGGATCATTACCTTCATATAGTTCGACTAGTTTTCCGGCCACATGTAAATCGTAAATAATTCTTTCACTCTTTCTGAACGCAAGTTCGCATAATATATCGTCCGGCTGGAATATTAATTTTTCACGATATTTTTTCCTGATGGCGTCGATAAGAGAAAAGTTTTCTTGAAAATTTAGAAGTATTAAATCAAAAAAACACAACGACAACTACTACTGATACTGAAATCGATTCAATTTTCAAATGGCTATCCCTTCGAATAGAATAATTTTGAGGCTAAAGCAGTCTGAATCTGAAATGTAACCCGGCACCTTCGTCTATATCATTGTGAGAAAAACAGGAACATACGTTATGTTTTATAATAAAATGTTCCGGCGCAACAACGTATTTGTTATCACGGGTGGATATCTCGAATGGTTCGAAAGGTTGCTTACAGCGCACCATATATTTTTCTTCCGTCTTTGAAACATTCTGAAATACTTACATACTAAATAAGAACAAAATGTGACATTTGGTGAAATAAACCGAAATCGGAATCAGTAAAATTATGCATAAATACAACTGACCGTTGCATTGAGATTCTCAACAATTTTACGAAGAAATTCATCAGGAACACCGATATATGGCTCAATAGTATTCGGATAAGCAAATGACTTAATAGAAGACGTCGCGTTGCCCATTTTGATGGAGTTATATTTGAATTCATAATGATTTGCGGATTGTTTAGACTTTACGAAGGAATAAATGAAATTAGACAAACGAAGCGGTTCAGCGGTTTCACAGATCAAACGAATCAGTCTATTGGAATCATAGTTTAAACGAAGCAATTCAGTGGCTTCATACTTCAAACGAAGCGGTTCAGTGGTTTCATAATTCAAATCGCATGATTGGTTATTACGTCCACCAAACGTTAACATCGCTTTCTTCTTAGAATCCTATGATTTCACCCTTATTTATATTATTTGTTCTGTTCTATTATAATTTAAAGTGACATCAAGAAAAATTCTAAAATATCATTCGATAACTGCAAATCGCTAATTATTATTATTATTATATCTTATCCTTATTAGAATCTTATATTCCTTTAGCCGATGGTAAGACGGAAAATAATGAAAATTAATGAAAATTCTGATCAGGTAAGCAGCTATCTTTTAGGTATAAATTAGTCGCCTTCCATTCAAATCGGATAAATATGATCGAAATAGTTCCCTTACCAATGGTGGCAGTGCAATGGTAATAACAGGATGCAGTTGATAATTCCGAATAGCCCTCCTTATCGGATTATCCAAAATGTATAGGCCGGAGAAAGACTGGGTGGAAACTCCAAATGGAGAGCCAAAAACATGTAACGTCGATAAACCGAGCACACCGTCCATTTTTTGATAATCAAATTTGGGCCATTGCAAAATCTTTGTTACACAGAATGGAGAACTTGGGAAATCTACGCGTGTTCCATTTAATGAATTAAACTGAAAAAATAATTTCTCGAAATTTTAGCTGGTATTGAGGGAAAGATATAATTTTGAGTGGGATTATTTGCAAGTATCGTTATTATTAACAGGTGAAATAGACTGAACACTTTTGTAACAGTTTTGTTGACAACTACAAATAAGATTAATCGAGAATTTCAATTTTGTTATCTGTTATCCATAAGTTGGAAAAAAGAAATCAGGAAAGAATACCGAAATATTATCCGTAAATTGGATCAGTGAAACTTTCCTGGAACCGTAGGTTTGATCTAGGAAAATTTGATTAGTTTTACCACAGGTTTGAGAATCGTAATATGCGTAAGCGTGCATTTTCCTCATAAATTCCCATGTGCCATTTGGGAAAGATAAACTGAAGTAATTTTAACAGATGAAATTATTGAAAATTTTCACATTCGAAATTGAAAGATTTCGTCTTAAGATTTCGTTTCTATTTTTATAGTAAATTTTGGAATATTTTCTATAAATTATAACTTATTAAATGTATGGATGATGAAAAAAGCTAAACAGAAAAAAAGTTAAGCATACTAAAATGAAGGATGAAGTACCCAAAGAAAACTGGAACCAATATCCAAAAGCAGACAGAATTCTTTTTTCGGTTCACCGATCGTCACCTTTGCAGTATATCCGGCATGTTGCTAAAAGGTATTATGAAATTTGTGAATAATGAAATTTCTCTCAATTAATTCCAATTCTTGTTAATAGAAAATGATAGAAGTAATTATTCAACATACGTTTGATACGCTATAAACAGGATGTAATTCAACTTGATGCTCAGCAAATATCAATGTCGCTTGAAGACAACAAAAGATAATTGCTAAATTGATTAACGTATCCCTCATCTTTCTGCCTAAAATTTGATTGAATAGGTCAAAGGACAAAAATGTACGAACATTTCATATTCGACATAATATATGCACGGTAGCATCTCTATAGACATATTACTTGACATGCAATGATCACTGCTGATTCTTATCGAATTGTCTTTTAAAGAATCCATATAATGATAATTGCTGATGATATCATGCTGTCTTTTAACGAATCCAAATTTCATTTGAAACTAATCTAACTATCTTAATTTCATTACTAATATTTTGTCTGACTTCTCGTTGACAACAGAATTATCATCTTAAATATAATTTAGCCGCGCTTACTAACAATTAAGAATTCTTCTCAGTTTCTATTTTGTATATCACATAACATAAATCAACAAATCAATTTCTAATTCCTCAAAACTTCCAGGTCATATTGACTATTTGCTGATTGGTCATTTCTTTAAATTACTTCCTATGAACTTACTAATGCTTACAGTATCAAGTGCCATCAAATTCTTGTGCTATTACTCCCTGTAGTTGAAAGAAAAACTGAAGACATTTTTGTAATTCGATGTAGTAGTATAATCAGCCTAATTTCGATCAAAATTTAATAAAAATCCCAAATCTGATGGGTTGAATTTCAATGAGTAATGAATCGGAATTCACAACCTACAGAAGCAGTAGGTTGTGATTTCCGTAGACAAAATTGAACTAACGATACCTTTGATGATTTTACGGCGAAAAAGTTTTGCTTGAATTGCCTATGCTTCTATATTGAGCATTTTTAAATCAATTCATTCATGATATTTGCATTGTTGTAGGATTAATGTTCTTTGAATTATGTGTTTGTTGAAATAAAATTGCATTATAGCATTGCAAGTGATTGTTACAGGTAGATATTAGTATGACAATGATCATTTCAATATATCTATGCATATATTTTCTTTGATATGTTCGATTTCATGTCATTCGATTACTCATAAAAAATTTTCCTTTAAAAAATGCATCGATGAAAAAATAATTCAAAATGATTTATTCCATCAATTTTGATTCAATTTAACAGGAACAGTTAAATTTCATCGGTTTCCGTTGAAACCAAATTTAGTGAGTACAATTTGAATTAAATTATCGGTGCGAAATTAATAACATAATCACGTGGAATCAACGTAATGCAATATTGGTGGAAGAATGGTATTCCAAGCACAACTGTGTTTGGATCATTATCTTCGTATAATTCGACTGGTATTCCGGATAAATATGAAGAATAAGTAGTTCTTTCACTCCTTTTGAACGCAAGTTCGCATAATGTATCGTCCGGCTGGAATATTAATTTTAGCGGTATTCATCGATGAGAGATATCTTTTAAATTAAAGAATAGATTACAGCAAAAACTCCTGATACTGAATAAAATTCAATTATCATATGGCTGTCAGTTCGAATAGAGTATTTATGAAGTCAATGCAAATATAAAATGCAAATATAAGATTTAAGGCTAATGCAAATTTCAAACATAAAAGCCTGGCGCCTTTGTCTTCGTCATTTCTTATTTTATTTTATTTTATTAAATTAGGAATATTTAGATTAGAGAATAGGAACATACATTACGTTTGATTATGAAATTTTGTGGCGGAACGACGTATGTATTCCTATCAGTGAATATCTCGAACGGTTCGTATGTATTATAAACGACGGATCCTTCACATTGTACCTTATATTTATTCTCTGATGAATCAAACTGAAATGCTTTGATTTTAAAGAAACAACGAAATGTGACATTTAGTGAAATAAAGGAAATTGGAAACAGTAAAATTATGCATTAAAAAAACTGACCGTTGCATTGAGATTCTCAACGATTTTACGAAGAAATTCATCAGGAACACCGATATATGGCTCAATAGTATTCGGATAAGCAAATGACTTGATAGAAGACGTCGCGTTGCCCATTTTGATGGAGTTATATTTGAATTCATAATGATTTGCGGATTGTTTAGACTTTACGAAGGAATAAATGAAATCAGACAAACGAAGCGGTTCAGCGTTTTCACAGATCAAACGAATCAGTCTATTGGAATCATAGTTTAAACGAAGCAATTCAGTGGCTTCATACTTCAAACGAAGCGGTTCAGTGGTTTCATAATTCAAATCGCATGATTGGTTATTACGTCCACCAAACGTTAACATCGCTTTCTTCTTAGAATCCTATGATTTCACCCTTATTTATATTATGTATTCTGTTCAAATCATAACTTAAAGTGACATCAAGAAAACTTCTAAAAATATCATTCGATAATTGCAAATCGCTAATTATTATTATTATATCTTATCCTTATTAGAATCTTATATTCCTGAAAAATTTAGCCGATGGTAAGACGGAAAATAATGAAAATTAATGAAAATTCTGATCAGGTAAGCAGCTATCTTTTAGGTATAAATTAATCGCTTTCAATTCAAATCGGATAAATGTGACCAAAACAGTTCCTTTACCAGTGGTGGCAACGCAATGGTAATAACTGGATCAAGTTGATTGTTCCGGATAGCCCTCCTTATCTGATTATCCAAAATGGATAGGCCGGAGAAAGACTGGGTGGAAACTCCAAATGGAGAGCCAAAAACATGTAACGTCGATAAACCGAGCACACCGTCCATTTTTTGATAATCAAATTTGGGCCATTGCAAAATCTTTGCTACACAGATTGGAGAACTTGGGAAATCTACGCGTGTTCCATTTAATGGATTAAACTGAAAAAATAATTTCTCGAAATTTTAGCTGGTATTGAGGGAAAGATATAATTTTGAGTGGGATTATTTGCAAGTATCGTTATTATTAACAGGTGAAATAGACTGAACACTTTTGTAACAGTTTTGTTGACAACTACAAATAAGATTAATTGAGAATTTCAATTTTGTTATCTGTTATCCATAAGTTGGAAAAAAGAAATCAGGAAAGAATACCGAAATATTATCCGTAAATTGGATCAGTGAAACTTTTCTGGAACCGTAGGCTTGATCTAGGAGAATTTCATTAGTTTCATTACAGGTTTGGGCATCGTAATATGCGTAAGCGTGCATTTTCCTCATAAATTCCCATGTACCATTTGGGTAAGATAAACTGAAAAAATTTTAATAGATGAAATTATTGAAAATTTTCACATTCGAAATTGAAAAATTTCGTCTTATTCCATTTTTATAGTAAAACATTGAAATATTTTCTGGAAATCATAATTTATCTCTAAACATATGGTTGATGAAAAAAGCAGAAAAGCTAAACATACATAAACGTAGAAGGTAAAACCCAAAGAAAATTGGTGACAGTATCTAAAAGCAGAGAAAATTCTTTTTTCGGTTCACCGATCATCACGTTTGCAGTATATCCGATATGTTGCTAAAAGCTATTATTAAATTATGAGCAATGACATTTAGCTCAAATAATTTTATTCCTTGTTGACAGAAAATAATAGAACGCTTAATCTTCATGAAGTAATTAATTAACATACGTTTGATTCGCTGTAAACGGGATGTAATTCAACTTGAAACTCAGCAAATATCATTGTTACATGAAGACAACAAATGATAATTGCTAAATTGATTAGCGTATCTTTCATTTTTCTGTCTAAAATTGGATTGAATAGGTCAAAGGACAAAAGTGTACGAACATTTCAACAATATATGCATGGTAGTATCTCTATAGACATGTTACTTGACATGCTATGATCACTGTTGATTTTTACGCTTGGCTCGAGTTGCCTATAATTTGCCATTTTTAAATCAATCCATTCATGATATTTGCATTGTTGTAGGATTAATGTTCTTTGAATTATGTGTTTGTTGAAATAAAATTGCATTATAGCATTGCAAGTGATTGTTACAGGTAGATATTAGTATGACAATGATTCATACCGTAAATTCATTCGTTTAATATGCAAACGAAAAAAAATGAATTGTTATATTGATTGAATTGATAGATATCTCTGAAATTTGTTAGAGCATTTTCCAAAAAGGAGAAAAAATCCAATTTAAGCAGCGATCGTTGATTAATCGGTGGTGAATGCATTTGTTAATTTTGTGATATAACAATGATTAATTAAATTTTTGGAATGATAAAAGTTATGTTTATCACAATTAATGATACAGAAAATACAAAAAGAAAATTTTAAATGCATTTTAATGCTTTTTTAAAGGCTTGTTATTTTAGAATTTCTGTGATAAATGAAATTTTTTTCGATCAACTATCAGACAAATCATCCAAAAATATATCAATTGGTTTCTATCTGATGTGATATTTCTGATAATAACTTTATCATATCAAATTAATTCCTTCAAAACACACGCCTTTTATCGTTATCGATAGCGTTAGCATTTTTTCAAAATGCCCTTATCAAGTTTTTGTGTCATAAATTGAGTAATTTTTTCAGTAATTTCAATTACTGTAATATCAAGCACAAGTGGTCACTTGTTTGGTCACTTTGTTAATAAACTAAAAAGCAAAAGAAAAACGATAAAAATAATTTCTGGCAAAAAATATTAGCAAATCAAAAATTCTTGCAATTTTAAATGGGAAAAACCAAAGAATAAATGGAGGGAAGAAATTCTTGATGTAATTTGTTTATTGTTGATAGTAATTTAAACAATCTTCTCCCGGTATTTCGCGGCAAATTTTCAAGAGGTCAACTTACAGATCACTCCCTTATTGATGACTATTCCTAAGCTTGCAATCTCTTTCTTTCTATCTCTCTCTCTCTTATCTAACTAATCATTATATATCTCTCTCTCATGAGTAATGAATCTAATTTTTTTTCATAGGACCAGATTGTGATTTTCGTTGATGAAATTGAATTAACAATAAATACCTTTATTGATTTGAAGACGATAGCGCTTTGCATGAATTATCTCTTAAATGATAGCGGCAAGCCAAAAATGATATGAATTTCATGTTTGTGCCTTTTGAAGTCACATTAACGCAGAAACTTACTGTTCGTGTAACTGAGAAATTGATTATAATGTCTACTGATAAGAAGTACATTTGCAATATTTCAGAAGTACATTTGCTGTTCAAAATATTTATTTGTGTTTGAAAATTTCCTAGATAAATTAATTGTCATCTGATTCTACGAGATTCCTAAAAAACGTAAACAAAAATTGGTCCATATGTTGGAGATATAGAAAAATGGAAGCGTATTGATCGAGTTAGCTAAGTTGTTTTCGAAGTTGGATTTATAGTCTTTACAAAAAATTTCGAAAAATGGATTTTCTACTTATTTACGAGTTTCTGATATAAGCCAATTTTGTTAACAATCAACATTGAGATGGTTATGATCAATCTTTAGACGTGGAGATGTGATTCCTTGTAACTGGATTTGGATAACGCTCCTTCTTAATTTTATCAGGATATGTACTAAACAAGACAATTCCGGTAATGTTTTCAGAAGTTAAATCGTGATAGTTGTAGCAGGCGGTCAGTCCAAAGAATACTAATTCTACAGCAATGCAAATATTATGAATGAATTGGCGCTGAAAACGGCTATCCGGAAAAATCAATGGGATCCGCTTGTGACCGATGCATTGCGCCATTGATAAAGTGACACTTCGTTTTTTCATTTTATTAGCATAAAATCTGCGAAATGGAAAGACAAAACCTTTCGATCATATTTATGCATTTTGAATGGGAAGTGATTAATTTGTATCTGAAATGATACCTAAATTATATCTAAGATGACTTCATTAATGATTTTCAATATGTGCTTAAATATTTAATTTGAAATTCATTCTCTCAAAAATAATCCAACTGCTGTAACGCATATCGCAGTAATATTTGAAATGTAGTTGACAGCGAAGAAAAAAAATTTTTTGTACTTCATTCCAACTTCTTTGTCGCCGATAACATATATCGATGGAATATGAAGCTTTGATAGAGTTTGAAATATCAATTTTTATTATTTATAATAGGATAAGAAAATGAGATGAATACAGGATGAATTATGATATAATTAAATAAACAAAAATTGATTACACTTTCTAAAATAACGAAATTTTATAAAAATACGGAAACATAGGAAGGGAGAAATTAATATGGCTGATTTCATGCCTTTCGATTACTCATCAGCTAAAGGTTTCCGTTGAAAACAAGTTTAGTGAGCACAATTTTCAAATTAAATTATCGGTGAAAAATTAATATTATAATCACGTGGTTTCAACGTAACGCAATATTGGTGGAAGAATGGTATTCCAAGCACAACTGTGTTTGGATCATTATCTTCGTATAATTCGACTGGTATTCCGGACACATATAAAGAATAAATAGTTCTTTCACTCTTTCTGAACGTAAGTTCGCATAATGTATCGTCCGCCTGGAATATTAATTTTTACAGTATTCATCGATGAGAGAGGTATTTTTGACCATTTAGACGTATTAATTTAAAGAATAGATAATAACAACTCCTAATATTGAATAGAATTCGATTATCATTTGGCTGTCAGTTCGAATAGAGTATTTATAAGGCCAATGCAAATATAAAATGCAAATTTCAAATACGAAATTAAATGCAAATATGCAATGTAAATATCAAATATGAAAGCCTGCGCTTTTGTCTTCGTCATTTCTTACTGGGATATTTTATTAAATTAGAGAATAGGAGCATACATTATGTTTGATTATGAAATGTTGTGGCGGAACGACGTAAGTATTACTACCGGTGAATAGCTCGAACGGTTCGTATGTATTATAAACGACGGATCCTTCACACTGTACCTTATATTTATTCTCTGATGAATCAAACTGAAATGCTTTGATTTTAAAGAAACAACGAAATGTGACATTTAGTGAAATAAAGGAAATTGGAAACAGTAAAATTATGCATTAAAAAAACTGACTGTTGCATTGAGATTCTCAACGATTTTACGAAGAAATTCATCAGGAACACCGATATATGGCTCAATAGTATTCGGATAAGCAAATGACTTAATAGAAGACGTCGCGTTGCCCATTTTGATGGAGTTGTATTGGAATTCATAATGATTTACGGATTGATTAGACTTTGCGAAGGAATGAACGAAATCAGAGAAACGAAGCGGTTCAGCGGTTTCAAAGAACAGACGAACCAGTCTATTGGATTCATAGTTCAAACGGAGCAATTCAGTGGCTTCATACTTCAAACGAAGCGGTTCAGTGGTTTCATAACTCAAATCGCATGATTGGTTATTACGTCCACCAAACGTTAACATCGCTTTCTTCTTAGAATCCTATGATTTCACCCTAATTTATATTATTTGTTCTGTTCTATTATAATTTAAAGTGACATCAAGAAAAATTCTAAAATATCATTCGATAACTGCAAATCGCTAATTATTATTATTATTATATCTTATCCTTATTAGAATCTTATATTCCTTTAGCCGATGGTAAGACGGAAAATAATGAAAATTAATGAAAATTCTGATCAGGTAAGCAGCTATCTTTTAGGTATAAATTAATCGCTTTCCATTCAAATCGGATAAATGTGACCAAAACAGTTCCTTTACCAGTGGTGGCAACGCAATGGTAATAACTGGATCAAGTTGATTGTTGCGGATAGCCCTCCTTATCTGATTATCCAAAATGGATAGGCCGGAGAAAGACTGGCTGGAAACTCCAAATGGAGAGCCAAAAACATGTAACGTCGATAAACCGAGCACACCGTCCATTTTTTGATAATCAAATTTGGGCCATCGCAAAACCTTTGATACACAGAATGGAGAACTTGGGAAATCTACGCGTGTTCCATTTAATGAATTAAACTGAAAAAATAATTTCTCAAATTTTAGTTGGTGTTGAGGTCAAGGTATATTTTTGATTGGAGATTGAACTCTTTTGTTACAGTTTTGTTGACAACTAAAAGTAAAATTAATTCAGAATTTCAATTTTGTCATCTGTTATCCATAAGTTGGAAAAAAAAGAATCAGGAAAGAATACCGAAATATTCTCCGTAAATTGGATCATTGAAACTTTTCTGGAACCGTAGGTTTGATCTAGGAAAATTTGATTAGTTTCATTGCCGGTTAGGGAATCGTAATATGCGTAAGCATGCATTTTCCTTATAAATTCCCATGTACCATTTGGAGAAGATAAGCTGAAGAAATTTTAACAGATGAAATTATTGAAAATTTTCACATTCGAAATTCGAAGTTCCGTCTTATTCCATTTTTGTAGTAAATATTGGAATATTTTCCGCAAATCATAATTTTTTTCTAGACATATGGATGATAAAAAAGGCAGAAAAGCCAAACATACACAAAAGTAGAAGATAAAACCCAAAGAAAATTGGTGACAGTATCTAAAAGCAGAGAAAATTCTTTTTTCGGTTCACCGATCATCACGTTTGCAGTATATCCGATATGTTGCTAAAAGCTATTATTAAATTATGAGCAATGACATTTAGCTCAAATAATTTTATTCCTTGTTGACAGAAAATAATAGAACGCTTAATCTTCATGAAGTAATTAATTAACATACGTTTGATTCGCTGTAAACGGGATGTAATTCAACTTGAAACTCAGCAAATATCATTGTTACATGAAGACAACAAATGATAATTGCTAAATTGATTAGCGTATCTTTCATCTTTCTGTCTAAAATTGGATTGAATAGGTCAGAAGACAAAAATGTACGAACATTCTAACACAATATATGTATCGTAGCATCTCTATAGACATGTTACTTGACATGCAATGGTCACTGTTGATTCTTATCGAACTAAGTGTCTTTTAAAGAATCCATATAATGATAATTGCTGATTGCTATCAAGCTGTCTTTTAAAGAATCCAAATTTTTTACTTAAATATGACTCAAGTAATTGAAAGTTATGATCAGAGCAGGAGATTTTGTTTAACGTACATCCCACGGAGGAGTTTTTGGAAGAAAATTCAAATTGAATAACACCTCTGTGTCATTTTGTTGCGTATGAGATCGGAAACAGATTTTACTAGCTTATTAACTTAAAGTTTTAAAATTGAAGAATCAAATTTCATTTGAAACTAATGTCTTAATTTCATTATTAATATTTTGTGTAACTTCTCATTTACGTTAGAATTATCATTTTACAATATAATTTAGCCGCGCTTACTAACAGTTAAGAATTTTTCTCAGTTTCTATTTTGTATATCACATAGCTTTAATCAATAAATCAATTTCCAATGCTTCAAAATTTCTAGTTCTTCTTGATTATTGATTGATTACTTCCTCGAATTACTTCCAATGAACTTATTATTACTTATAATACCAAATACCATTAATTTCTTATGCTGCTACTCCGAAAGTTTAAAGGAAAACTGAAGACATTTTTGTAATTCGATGTAGTAGCATAGTCAGTCTAATTTTAATCAAATTAATTTAATAAAAATCCAAAATCCGGTGAGTTGAATTTCAATGAGTAAATGAATCGAATTGCTTCACAGAAGCAGTAGGTTGTCATTTTCGTTGATATAAATGAACTAACGGTACCTTTGTTGATTTGAAGACGATAACGCTTGGCTTGAATTGCCTATGATTTTCTATTTTTAAATCAATCTATTCATGATATTTGTATTGTTGTAGGATTAATGTTCTTTAGACTTCTTTAGACTGTTTGTCAAAATAAAGTTACATTATAATTTCGCAAGTGATTATTACAGGTAGATTTTAGTATGATAATGAAATTCATAAAGCAATAAAAATGTATTTGTTGTATTAATTGAATTGATATTTGTCGGAGCATTTTTCAAAAGAAGGAAAAATTCAAGTTAACATTTGTTGATGTATGCATTTGTCAATTTATGACATAACATTGATTAATCAAATCTTCGAAATGATAAAAGTTAAATTAATAGTGAATCGAAATCACTGAAATTAATATTTGATATGAATTTCATATTTGCGCCCTTTGAAGTCACATTAGCGCAGAAATTTATTGCTCATATAACTGTGAAATTGCTAATAATGTCTATTTGATGTGAAATACGTCGCCGTATTTCCATTCAAAAAAATATTTTTGAAAACAAAAAAATGGAAACAAAAATTGTTTACGAGTTTCTGGTAGAATCGTAAGCTAATTCTGCCGAGGATTAACATTAAGATAGTTATGACCAATCTTTTAGACATGGAGATGTCACTCTTTGTAATTTTCCTTTTTTATACCGGAGTCAGACAACACTCCTGTTTCAATTTTAGTAGGATATGTAGTGGTCCGAACAGTTCCGGTAGTGTTTTCAGAAATATCTTCATCTATTGCAGCATATGGTACCACAGAATGAGTCGTTGTTCGCCTTTTAAGGTTAATGATTTATTCTTTAGTCTTTGAAATCATTAGCCATATTTTGTCTCTTTCGCGAAGCTGTCAACAGATGCAACCGAGCATCAGCTAAATCTGTCAATGGAAAGGCCACTAATATTATTACTAACAGTAATTGCAAAGAATTATCGATATATTTATTGAACGAAAATTCGGAAATATATTCTGGAATTTAATTAGAGCAATCCTACAAAAATCGGATCAAAAGATTTATTTCATCTCGTATATGGCAGTGGAAGAATTTGCATACTGTATTAGAAATTGAGAAAGTATATTAAAGATTCATTTCGCTTTCTCAGAATTGATTTAAGCATTTTACGGATTTTAATTCAACAAAAATTCCATCTGTTCTACGTCAAATTTTTTCTCTATTGTAATTGATCAGTTTTATTTTGCCCTACTAAATCATAATTATAATAATCCGGAAATGTTTACTATCCTGTTTTCAATTAAATATATTCACAAATCTATTCAACTGTTTTATTAATCCATCACATAAACAAATCATTCCATCAACTGATAATTCAAGAATGCTTGATAAAGGAAACTTTTGAAGCCAGCAAATTACTTTGCAACGAATGAATTACTTGTCATTCTTCTCTTGAAATGGAAATATTATTTGATGTATAAATTATGTTATAGAAGGAAATAAACTTTTATGCTTATATGTTTGCAAAAACTGAATTTATCTCATTCTACAGTAATGCGTTTTACAAGGAATTAATTTGATATGATAAAGTTAATATTAGAATTGTCATATCAGGTAGAAGCCAGTTGACATATTTCTGGAAGATTTGTCTGATAGTTGATAAATCAATGAAAAGCACTAAAATGCATTTAAAATGTTGATGGAGCCAAAAAGTATTGATTTCAATCATTCCAATTCACTATTAATCCAACTTTTATCATTTCAAAAATTTGATTAATCAGTGGTATGTTATAAATTAACAGATGTATTCATCATCGAATAATCTACGACTGCTACTTAAATTAAATTAACCTTTCTTTATTGAAAAATGCTCTGACAAATATTAATTCAATTAATACAACAAATTTGTTTTTACCACCTTTGTTTATAATCAAGAAGAACTAGAAGTTTTGTAAATTGGTTATTTTTTGTTCATTAATGAAAGTTATGTAATTTATAAGATAGAAATCAAAAATGTTTAATTGTTAGTGAAGATGCCTAAATTACACTGTAGAATTTAACGGCTACACTGTAGAATTAAAATTATATGCGCATATTTCGTAATAGAATTGATCTGATCTGATTCTAATATTCTTCTTTGAAGTTTCAATTGATATATCAGACTAATAAAAATTCTCGAAGCTCATGAATATTTGCTTCAGAAAATATCTGATATAATTTTCAAATATTCTGATCCTGTTGTTATGACTGTATTAATTTTCTGCACTATTTATATTATTTTCAAGAAAATTGTCTATCTTCAACTCTATGAATATTACAGTATTATTGTTTAAAAAATTATTTTCAAATAACTTTAAATATTATTTTAAACAGATGAAGATATTTAATTCCTTATTCAGAAATCATTTTACAATATGAAATCACATTGCCATTGTTGAAAGATAAATAAGAAAAGAAATATGAGCACTAATGATGATTCTACGAAACTTATCTTGCCGTGATTGACTAATTTTTCTTCGTTTAAAGAAAATAATATAAATTTATCGGAAATGAATCGAAAGTGAAATTATTGCTTTTCTGAAATAATTTCTGAATTTTCATCGAATGTAAATTATTTCATAAGAGTTGCACGTTATATATTATTACCAAAATATGTACAAGTGTAGATAAGAGGAAAATTACAATTATATGCAGCATATCGAGAATTATGAATGGTAGCAAAACGGAACTTTTGCAGGAAAGTTGATCCGAATGTTAGGTGATGGATTCAACTTGATCATATCAAAATTTCGAATAGATAAGAAGTGATAAGCATGAAGGTTTACTTGATGACAATTACTTTTATTTGAATTTCAGGAAAATCATAATGAAGTTTTATTGAAGATCTACGGTTATCTTGTAAAAGCGGTCACTTGTTTGGTCATTTTGTTCAACTTCTTCTCAAGTTAAGAGAATATCGAAAAAGAAAAGGAAGTGAAAGAAAAAGTAAGCTGCTTGTTATTTCTTATCCATTCAAAGTTTTTGATATGAAATGGTTAAATGTGACGGTTGGAGATTGAAAAGATGATGAGAGGAGAAGAGATTTGCCACGGATGAAAACCTGATTAATTAAGTCAATTATAGGTCATATAACAGAAACAGAATCTTATGATCCATAAATACGATCCATCAATTTGATATTTGAAGTATTAAAGTGGATTATTTTAGTTTTTTTATTCTTGTAATAATAAATGACCAAAAATATCATTAATAAACTTATTTTATCTTCGAGCATAAATTTCAATATGATTAACTGAATTTTTTGTTCTTCTAGTAAAATCTAGACTTTTTGATCGTACCAAAACTTTGATAGGTAAGAAATAACAAAGCAGGAAGTTTGCTTGATAACAATTTGATCATTCAAAACTTTGAATAGGTAAGAAATAACAAAGTTTGCTTAATGACAATAAGTTTTATTTAAATTTTATTTCAAACTGATAGATGAAGTGTTAAGCAATCAATAGATATCACAATTGCAATTAGATGATTTCAACGTTAAAAATAATAATTAAAGGTTTCATAATAAAAATTCCACGTTGCATGTATGCATTCGTGTTTTAATGTATTTGCACACAATGCAAGTTAAGGATGCTGCATGTTGCAAACAACTTGCAGAGTGAAACATTGTAAAGTTTTTATGTATTGCATAAAAAAGAAAAAGGAAAGGATGTATGAAATAGCTATTTATTTTAAAGCAAAACTAAAAAATAGAAAAATGAACGAAAAAATTAAAATTAGATATGAGTGGGTGTTAATGAATTCTTTCGGCTGTCAATAATTGAATTTAATTGAAATGAAACAAATTATTCAAAGCATATACATTTCTTTTTCAATTAAAAAATAAAACATACTCATTACTTATACATTTATCTGAAAGTGTTATTTTCCAGATTCTCATTTCATTTGAATATTTTATTGTAATATAATCTTTCATCATTGCTCGTCGTTTAATACAATCATTTAAAAACTTTACAAATATTTTGAAAATCATAACAAATTTTAATGCAACACAATCTTCTATCCTACAAAACTTTCATAACAATCAAATGTTTCTCTTTTATTTATTGTTTTGAATTTCAATGAAATTCATTTGAATTATATAAATTTCAACTAAATTATGCATATCACATTAATAAGGACTATTAGTGTATTTAATAATTCGATGATAAGTTTAACATTGATAGGAAATAAACAAATTTATGCTGAATTAAAAATAAAGCATAATTACAATTATGAAAGAATTGTGTTAAATGAATGATCGATTTGAATGCAAAAGAATATCAACAAAAATACACTAAAAAATTATTGACAAATTATAATATATTCCACAGAGTGAAATACTCATAAGTATTTCAAAAATTGGCTGCAACATAGCAACGCCATTCGTATTTCTATGAGTTACTGTTGGACGGAATAGTATTTTACGACCATTAAGTGGTTGTGTTGGACGCCAATTATGTCCAGTCTTTCCGGATGCAAAATGAATCTGATGAAATGCTCGCATCTGCAAAATGATACAATTAGAAGTCATCATTTCGATAAATATAGCAATTGTAACTTATTAATAAGCTATATTCTTTAAGAGTATAAATTTTCTATCAAATAGTTGTATTTTCTTTTTTGGATATAATTGAAGTTATTTTATCAGCGATGATAATCAAATATTAATGTTAATAACAGAAGAATTCCTTCATATGATTAAATTTCTATTAATGCTACTACTACTATTGTTATTATAATTCTTGCAATAATATCCATTTTCAAATTTCCTTCAATCCTAAAAAGTATTAAGTGTAATCTTTTGAAATTTAATAAATAATTTAAATCCATTTCTTGAATAATTCACTTAAGTTCAAAATTCATTTAACTTAAAAGAAATTTACAGTTCATAATGAGAAAAAAAAAGGATTGATAATATAATCTAATTAGCAAATTTAAATAAGTCAAATAGTTCGAATGCTAAAAAAGTCAATTAAAATGAAAATATTTTCGAAATGTTTGTTTTGTTAATTTTTATTTACAAGCTTACAAAATTAATCGAAAATCCTATTAAATTTGATGAAATTAAAGATGATATTTTAGAATTTCAAATTTTTGTTAACACATTTAGAGAACCATTAAATATCGTCCATTCAATGTAATTTCTTTAGAACAAAAAACGAATACATTTTCAAATTTCATTTAATTCATTCAAAATATAAACAAATTTTTATGAGGAACAGTTTTTGGTATTTGATAATACGTGATGATTCATATTTCAATATTTGAATGTTGTTTTGTTAATCCAAGAATGTTACAAAGACTTTGTTTTTGAAATGAATTTAACTGAGTAATAATAAGATCTATGACTAAACAGGAAAAAAGGTTTACCTTTAAAACTTGACGTATTTTAATTATTTTTTAATTTAATTAAAAAATTGGAGGATATTTTAATTTAACAATTTGGAAAACTGATGTGTTTATCAATCCAGATATGATGCTATTAATTCTTCAATTTAATGTGAAAACTATTAACTAGAAGTTAATTGAGATCAGGTTCAGACAAAACGAAATATTTCGATTGATTTGAAAAATTATAAAGTTTCTACGATTCAGCTTATTTCAATATCTCGTCAATTGGATATAATCATATCTTATCTACTTATCAGCCCTTTAATTCTAAATATTATAATTGTGAAATAATTTTCACTTGTGATGGAGTAGCTGTGATAGGATCTGCCATTACTGTCCATACAACAGCTTCATCACAACCAGGTGTTGTCAATGATCCTTCATACCTGTAGAAATTTTCTATACGTCCTGGAAGCAATGAATTGACGCTAAAACTTGGCACCACAAGTTCCGTCTCTGTAATTTAACAGTTTAGAAAATTAATTTTTAATAGCGTTATTTTCAAAATTTTTCGTAAGACAATCACAAACTGATTTTGCAATAGTTAAAATCAATCAATGATGCATAAATATTGGAGTTTGTTTCCTATTTTTTTAAAATTAAATTGTTAAAAGAAGGAAATAAATTATGTGAGAACTAACTTGGCATTTTGATATTATGAATGTAAGGTTTAAGATAATGCAATGATCCAACACGATCATCAAGTCTTATAAATACGGCTACAACAGCAATGGTATTTACTTCATCTGGATATGGATCTTTTTTGACATGCACTAAATGTAGCTGAAACAATCAGGTGTATATTCACCTGATAATGATAGATAAGAATTTGATCTTATAATAGAATGAGTTAGGAAATAACATATACGCAGTTTTATTAATTTACTTAGAAAAAATTTCTTTTAAATTAATTTTATCTTAGGATGCTTCTAACTGAATTTTTCCCATTTCTTCCGTTTTTAAATTTGTCAACATTAAAATAATTTAATTCATTAATAATTGTAATTATTCAGTTTGTTCAAAACTCTTAAATAATAATAAATTTGAAGGAAATTTAAAAAGTGCAATATAATTAGTAGAAAAAATGTTTCAAATTGCACAAAAAAGCTTATTACTATTTAAGAATTTTAAATAAATCAAGTAATTACAATTTTTAATTAGTCCTTTTTTTCTATTTTTTTAAATTTAAATATTGTCTAAGCAGTATTTAAATAACATTGTTGAATAAAACATTTTTTGCATCTATCAAACGCTGAATGAATGTCGCAGATAATTTACCTCGCCAGGATAATGCAATGATGCAATGGTATGCTCACTTCCAGTATCATTTTGCTGTGACCAATGAAAATGAAACTGTGACAATTGATAGGTACCATTAAGACTACCGCCAGAAATATACGGTCGCTCCTCACCCCATCCCTCAAAGCCGGAACCAATCACTGTAAATCAATTTAAAAAGTGCAATCGCTATTTATTTGCAGTATATGTATGGATTGGAGGAATGATCAATAAGAATTAATTTAGTGTCTAATAATTTAATACAATAATTCAAAACATTTAATGGCTTGTACAATGCCGCCATTTATATGCAAATAGTGCAAAGTAAGAACAGTTTTCTCAATTTATTATGAATGTTGAAAATTTTATGATTTTAATTTTTCAAATTCCCATATCGCTTTCATTGTTGACTGTTATATTCAATTTAAGTCATAAAGTTCAGATATATATTTAATTGGATTATAATGTACCTGACAGGCACTTCTTTTATTCATATTTGCGCAAGTGATATTATAAGAGAGATGCTATCTTAAAATTTTTACATTATTCTTTAGTTTTCTTTTCTTGCCGTTGCAATTTAAATTTTGAAATTCTTACGGAATAACTAAACATAATGGATAATATGGATAGTTTTTTAATGATTTAAAAATTTAGATAGTTAGCAGCTCACCAGTATGTCCATTATTTGCCAAATGAATATGACCGTTAAGATTGTAATTCAAAAATTGTAAAGGTTCTAAAGGTGCAATTTCGATTTCAAATGCTCTAATATCTACAGGTGATTGACGTTTCCCAGTTTGGCATATTCCTCGCCATGTACGGGGCCCATCCACCGCATCGTAACCAAATTTATGTGCAGCTAGAAAAAATATGAAAGTTTGGAATAATTTCATTTTTCATCTTTCACATCAAAAATTTTGAAATTAAAAAGTTAGAAAATATTTATTATGTCATAGAATATTTTGATTGATAAACTGATAATCATACAATTTCATAGGTTATTTCATATTAATGAGATAAAATAAAAATCACAATTATAATTGTAAGCTTAATAAAATAGAAGAAAATTGATTTAAAGAAATTTGAAAAGTTAATAAGCTATTAAATTGAAATTCAAAATTTTCGAAATTAAATTAATTAGCTAAAAGAGTCATAAATTAATAAAACAAACAATAGTAACAGCATATGTTCCGCTTATTAAATAAAACATAAATATATTAAAATAATTTTTCGATATAACATTAACATACCAATATGAAGTGCTGCTACAATTGTTAAAAACAACGTGTTTTGATACATCGTTCTATAAAAATGAAAACAATTTCAAATAATTTGAATAATCTTATTTTTCTGAAAATGAAAAGAGATAAAAATTATTTATGGGGAAATAGTAAATTTTATCTTATCATTTATCGTTTAGGAAAAAGAAATTTCATATAAAGAAGTGCAAAAAGTTTTGAAGATCTACAGAATACAATGTTATTTGCAATGATAAGTTATCAACTAATGAAGTGATATTATCACTTTGAATATCTATTCTGATATGATAAATTTTCAATCTTATTGGAAGTAGAATAGCATTAAAATGCCGATAAAATGCACTATTTTGTATTATTTTATAGTCACTGATAAAAGCATTATCACTTATCATTTAGTTATTTTAAATTTACTATTGCAAAAGAAAACAAAAAATTGAATTAACGATACATTTGTTGTTAAATTCAATTTTCTCTCATTTTTCCTTCCCACCAATTTTTTTAACTGACAGAAAAGAGAATGGATGAAAATAGAAAATGATCAATGAAGTAGCTGAAATAAGGAATACATTAACTTTTTAATCAGTCATATTAAAGTGTCAGTTGTGCATTCCAAAAGATTTCAGCTGATAAGACATTTCCATCTCATTCATTCTTCTCATCACAAATGCTATGGTACTTGCTCAGCCAAGTATTTTTGTATCATACAATTCTTGCATTTTAAAATCTCAAATTTTTCTTTTTTACAAAAGGAAAAAAAATCAATGTAATTTGATAAATTTGAAATTTCAGATAAAATTATTTTAATATTCCGTTATTTTCTCTCATTCTCTTAAATCTATGAAATATTTTCTTTCTTTCCTTTAATTTATATATATATATATAAGTGATATTATCAACTATAATATCTATTCTGATATGATTTTATAAGGAAAATTTCGATTTATAACTAACTTATAAAAGTTTACTATTAATGAGTGTTTTCTAAAATTAACAATATTATTTTAATTTTTTCTTAATTTTTCCTTTCAACCATAAAATTCGAAATTTTTTGTTTTATTGATTTGCCATGTATTAAATAGATAGATTATTATTGATGATAGAAAGAAAACAAAAATGATAAAAGAACGGTAAATGATATATTATTGCTTTATATAATAAATATCGAGAAAAATGATCGTAGGAAGATATTTTTCAAAAACCTCTTTATATTATATTTTCTTATAATTTTATTCAATAGCTTTATTATATCTTTCTATAATACATAAATAGCTTTAAATCTATTTATGAATGTTGGAATGTTTGAAAAACGAATAATTAATCATAGTGCATGTTAGGGATGATCTTCAGTCTTAGTTATGATAATAGGGATTTAATTTTCCTGAAGAAAAAGAGAGGAAGTGATTCTAATTTGGTAACAATCTTCTTCACTTCTACTAACGTTAAAGGATAAACATTAAATAATTTAAAAAAAGCTATTTGTTTATAAAGTAAATTTATATTGAAGTTACTAATTACAACAAGTAGCTAATTGGGAAAGTTTGTGATTTCCCCCATCTAAATAATAAACAATACTTTCTGCAACATATCATTTGAAAAGCTTTAAACACTTAATGGACATACTTATGAATTTCAAGATTCAAAAATTAGGCAAATGAAGATATTAACCTTCAAAAATGAATTCGCTAGCATACATTAAGAAATTGTCCTTCTAAGAAAGATTATAAGAACTCGTGTTACAATCAACAGTCACTCAAGATATTAATCAATAACAGTCAACTCCAATTTAAATCAATACTCAATCAAGAATGTTCTTAATGAATCTAAATTTTTTTCATAATTTATTTTGTAACTCGTTTATCTCATGCTTTTAACTCGTTTTTCTTGTCTATTTTTCTTCAACTTAAAATCAATTATACACGGAAATGATATGTTGAGATCATCTGCACTTTCCGTTACTATTATCTGATCATATACAGGTCGATACAGCAGGTATACATTTAGAATTCTACTAAGTCTGAACTGTAATACTGAATCAATGAATAGTACTGTTTCTCCCTCTCTCTCTCTCTCTTGTTTTCCATGAATTCTTACGTATTTTTTTGAATTAAAATTTGAAAAAAAATCGAAAATTTCAGTAAGATAGAGAGAAACAAAGATGGATAAGATAAAGAGAAATGAAATTGAATTGAAATTTGTAGTAAGATGTTTGAAAGGAAAGAAAAATAAATTAAATATAAGTAAATAATAAAATTGAAAAACTTTAAAGAATACTTAATAAATTTTATATTTAATAAAATGAAAAGCATACGACTGATAAATATAAGCGAATGGAAGGAAATGATTATATCTTACTGAAATTTTGCTCTTTTGATCCTACTTATTATTCTGATAGAACAAAACAAAAAGAGTATGCGAAGAAATATTAATACTATATAATTGTACTTTTTATTTATGAAGTAAAATTTTGACGAGTAAATATTTCATGTTTAGAAATTTAAATAAGTTTAATTAAAACTTTGAATTCTCTCTTCTATAAAAACAATAAAAATTTAAATAGAATGATAATTTCTAAAAAATAAACTTTGGATTCTCTCTTTTGTAAAAACAATAGAAAATGAAATAGGATAATAATTTGAAAGAAAGAGAGAAAGGAATAAGTGAAGAGTTTAAGAGAGAAACATCGATGAATGAAATGAATAATAAGAAAATGATAAAATGTTGAAAAATTTGTCGACAATCTGTGAACCAAAGCAAAATGTTTAATAAAATTTTGGAATTGTTTTTATTTGATATCAATGAAAAATGTGAAAAAAGAGAAAAAGATAATGTTAGAAAAGTTTAATAAAATGTGAAGAATAAAAATGAGAAATGTTACAACATTATCATTCAATTTATTTCTCATCTTATTTTATACTAACTATTAATTAATATCATTATGATCGTTATTATTATACTTGCATGCTTATTTATAATCATTGTTATTGATAATAATTTCCTTCTAATCTGATTTTGATAAGAATCAATGAAAATATCGAATTAAATTATCATTGAAATTAGCAAAATAATTTCCCTCGATAAATTCAAATATCGAAATGATTATTTTAATGATAATTTTTATAGTAATAAAATATGACAGAAGTTTGAAGGAAGAGAGAGATGAAATAATTTGTTTGATAAATTCAAATATTTTAACATTAATGATAATTTGTATGATAATAAAAATGTGATAGAAGTTTAAAGCGAGAGAAAGAGAGATGAAATAATTTGCTTGATAAGTTCAAATATTTAAGATTAATGATAATCTGTATGATAAATTTAAAAGAGAGTAGGAAGAGATGAAATAATTTGTTCGATAAGTTCAAATATTTAACATTAATGATAATTTGTATGATAAATTGAAATATTTAATATTGATGATAATTTGTATGATAATAAAAATGTGATAGAAGTTTAACGAGAGAGAGTGAGAGAGAGAGATGAAATAAGGGTTCGATAAGTTCAAATATTTAATATTAATGATAATTTGTATGATAATAAAAATATGATAGAAATTTGAAGAGAGAGAGAGAGAGAGAGAGATGAAATAATTTGTATGATAAGTTCAAATCTTTAACATTTAATGATAATTTATTCAATAAATTCAAATATTTAATATTATTTTAAATTATCTCTGAAAAATAAGCAATTTTAAAATATTAGAAATTTTCATCGAATTAATTTGATATTAATTTTGAAGAGAAGAATTGAGAAAGTTTCAACGAAAAATTGACAAATGAAGATTTAGTTTTAGTTTTAGGAATAGAAAGAAACGAAAAAAAATAGAAAGATAAGAGAGAAGAGAAATTCTTCATCAACGGTTTCTTTCTCATTTCTCTTCCGAACAGCTGTGAGAGAATAACGAACAGTTGGCGAAATAAGAAGCTTTGATAGATATTCCACATTCTATTAGCATATCCCAACAACATATACTATGTTAGTAGATGTTGGGATATGTTAGTGGGAATGGCTTTAGTCTCTTTCATAGGTTACATATAATTTTTGAATTTGACCTTTCCATTTCATCTTCTCTAACCTCTTCTCCTATCTTTTATTTTCTTTATAATATCTTCCTGATAATTCTATATTTTGTTTATCCGTTTGTTTAATTAACAACATTAATTATTGGAGAATTCTAATTAGAAATAAATTTGAAGAGAAAAGTTTAATAACAGATGGATTTTTTCTTTCTCAATTTTAATTAATAGCAAAATAAAAGAAATTGAGCAAATAAGAAAAATTACAATTTCTAATGAGAATTGTTCGCTTGATCTTTTCGATTATTTCGTGCTAAGACACCACCGCCATTTTAAAGCTTTCTTTAAAAGATTTCCTACTAATTTATGCATTTCCTCCTCCCATTGATCGCTTCAATCTTCCATTTAGAAATTTATGGATGAATCTTCTCAATCTTCCATTTATGATTTATGGATAAATAAAAGGAGAGAAAAATAACGAATTAATTTAAATAAGGAAGAAAGAATGAACTTGAAAAAGAGAAAGGAAGAAGTTCAAATGTCAAGTATAACTGATTTTGTGATAATTCCAAAAATGACAATAATCATTTATGCTGTTAATGTATACATTCAAAATATTGCACGACTACATGTTCCTCCTAATTTGGAATGAAAATAAAACAAAAGAAGAAAAAGCTTTTTTTGGAATTCTCTCGAGAGCAATTTGTTTTAGCGCTTTAAAATTTTGGAACATTAATAACAAAATAAGTTGATTTTATTTTTGAAGAATCAATGTATATTTCATCTAAACAACCCCAATGAATTTAACTTTTCAGATAGTGTTTTAATTTACTAAAACAATTTAATGTTTAATAATGAATTTGGAGGCTAATAAGCCCAAAGTATTCATTTATGGCTCAAAGTATGAGTATGACTCAATCAAAAGTAATTTTATAACAAATCATTTCCTTTTGTTTGCTTTTACCATTTTGAGCATTTATTTTAAAAATTGAAAACAAAATGAATTTCTTGTTCTGTTTCTTCAAAGAAATCATCGCTGTGTAATTTAAAATGATGAATGAAATAATTTTTGAAATGTGTATATCTTCCAGTATGCTAAAATTCAATCCAAAATTGAAAGCTGCTAAGAAAGCCGCATGCTTTTATAATATTTGCATTCCTTTCCTCATATATTATCAACAGGAACCATACAAACAAATATTTATTCACATCTTCTTGTCTTGAGTGAAATCGATCTTGCGCAAAATTTACTCATTTTTAAATCTTTATCAAAACTTGAACGAAGATTTCAATTTTATAATTTTAAGACGAGGGGAATATGATTGAAGAAACAGTGCTTTCAACGGTCATTTAGTGTTCCAATCTAAATTCAGAAATGAATCAATCAGATAAGCTAACTTAATGTTTAATTAAATTACTAATGACTATCACTTTACTAAACAACGATTAAACATTCTGCTTGAAAATGTAAGTAATTTAATTGGAAGAACTTGTGAAGAAGATGTATCCACACTATATTCACACCCCATTATGTATAAATCAATTAAAAACATTTCTAAAATATTTTAAAAATTCATAAAATAACCATTTTCAGAATTACTCAAATGATCAAGTTAATGAAATCGGTTTAACATCCTTGAAATGTTTCAGATGTTTTGTTTAATTTCAGTCCTTTGAAACTTTTTGTCCATGGTTATTTATCTATAGCACCTACGATAAGTGTCAACAATATTCTAACTGAAAACGCTAACCAAATGTTGAAATAAAGAATTTTAAATTCTCAACGATTTAGTTAATTCAAACAACTTTTCCATAACGATGTGATAGAGGAAACAGACCAAATAACCAAATAACACCATAAAATTCGTTGTATAGGACACTGATAATATTTTGCAGTAGGCAAAGTAAAACTGTTTAATAACGGATTCTTTTCTGATTTTTTTTTGTTTTGATTCAGGATCGTAACGCTAGTCAGTAATTATCATTATTGCTTACTTACTGAAAACAATTCTGAGACTACTGCTTCAAAAACAAAGAGCCCTATTGCAATGCAAGCATAAACTACAATATCGAATATATCATCTCTTATGAATAGCTATCACACAGAGAACCGGATTCCTACAATATATATTCGAACATTGAACTTAGACAGAGAGTCATCATTTTATTAAATACAATAAGAAAAAAATAAGATGAAAGAATCTCATACGGAAAACTAAAAATAGTTTATATTTGGATTATATATGTTTAATAAGACGCCTATGCATTTCATATGTTATTAATTACATTTGCGACGTCATATAAAATATAAATATAAAATACAAAATGAATTGAAATAAATCGCCTATGATTCAAAGCAGTATAGAAATTAAATACCAGGAATCAAAAAATACCATAATTCAGAAAATACAGCAAATGGAAAATTTTAGAGTTTGTCATAAGCGAATGGAAATTATAATGAATGTATTTGTGATGGAATAAATTTGACTGAACATAAAAATTACCACTATAAAAACAGATAACTTAAAACAGCGATATAGCACCAATAGACGAATGCCATGTGTCAAATCACCAAAATTACAAAAGCAAAAAATAATGAATGCTAAATAAATGAATAATTGTAGTGTTTTAGGTCTATAATAATCAAAATGAACGCTTATTTATATTACGGCTTTGAAATGAATTAGAGACCTGCTAATCATTTAATTTAGCTGCTCAGCATAAAACTTTTCAACTTTTCAACACCAGATTATTTGAAATATTTGCTTCAATAAATATCTTCACAGTCATAATACTCACGATTCCAATATTTGTAAGTGAACATCCATAATAACTGATCTTCTTTAGAAATCGCATGCACATTTTTAAACCATCTAAAAGTTGCATTACAATCAGATTAAATATTCAAGTGCTTGAAATTAATATTTTAAACCTAAGATTTTTCGCTGCAGATAAGTGATTAGTTTAAGCAAAAGATAGTAGTTGCTGAATGGTACCATGTTTTATTTTTTATAGGGTTTTAAACTTACTTGGGTAATTTTTCTTTTGTCTTTTTCATTAAAGCACGAGCCTGTCTTTGCTTAACCTCTAGGCGTTCCTTTTCCTTCTCAGCCGCTTCTAGAAAATAAAAGAATATGATGTAGATTATTGAAACTGTTAAAAGCAGTCACGCCGACCACAGTCTTTTTTCTGATATGCACAACAAGAGCACTTGGTAAATAAGATGTCAAAAAAATTCAAACAACACGATAAGTTTCTAGAAAAATAAGTGCCAACCTTTTTGACCTGATTCAAACAAACGTATGTCGGGTCTTCGTCGACTGTCAGTTGGAGGTAACAAGTCCGTTATGTCAGATGGATCATTTAAAAGAAATGTAAACGAAGTAAAATTATACATCTGAAAACTAATTACAATTACTTCAGACTATTTTAAACAAACCACTCAAAAAAAAGCTGAACTAATAACATTATTGCAGTAACATAAATAAATTAAATTTCCAAAGAGTGTTTACCGTCGAAGAATTCGAGGGTCGAGGACGACACTTCCATATCAGCTTTGATCCTTGAATTAAGGGAATGTTTGTCTGCAACTTCTACTTCATTAATCTCCGATAAAATGACATAAAGCTTTATCATATTGCTTTAAAAAAATGTCAGTGAATACAAAAATGATATGACAATTGATGTGAAAAATAAAGCTAACCGGAGCAGAACAGTTTTGAAAGAGCTGTTTGCCAATTTCCAACCAATCATTGTAACGAAACTCAAAATTAGCAACTTCACAAGTAGCAAGAAATGTTGTCCAGTTTCCGTAAATTGCTCTTGAAGCTTTTTCTTTCAAGCCAAGACTTGAAACAGGCAAATAAATTTACAAGAAAACAGGAACACATAATTTGACATTCCAAATAGCAAAAGAGAGGATAAGAATTTTATTAATTTGAATTCAAAACAATAAACCAACTGCTTTGATATGAATCCGTGAAAGAAAGTACTCTGTTTCGAAGGCCCATTATCGTTATTCTTAAAAGAAAGCTTACACTCGAATCCTGTATTACATTGTATATGAAGATGCCCTTCCTAAAAAAATATTTAATTTATATTAACCGAGTTCTTTTAAATTGATAAACATGTGAGGGTAAAAGAATATGTGACAAGATCTAGCAAGAAATTATCTCCGTTTTGAGCACAAAGAGCTGTGAAAACATAATCAGACATAACTTACCAACTTTATATACATTTGTCCCATCACGATATTGTGAACCGTTACATTCAGTGTTTTCCAGGTATAAGTTTCGTTATGACTGTAAATGAAGTAATAGAATTAAATAGAAATTAGAATAGTTTTTTTATAATAATATAATAAATTTATTATTGAGAAGTTGGCAGTACTATTTACATAATTTGTAAGATTTTGAAACTGACTGTCAAAAAAAGTGGAAGAAAGAAAAAACAAACTTCAAAAATTTTAGCTGAAAATTCCCCGATGGTTGTACTTCAATATATGTTCCCCAAAATTTCAATCGTGGTGAAACAACACCATCAAATTCATAACTTTTAGATTCAGCATGAAAAGCAGATTTGGGTGGATGGTGGCTTACTTGCTCGGCAATGAAGCGATAGCCACTTTCTTCACTTCTAAAAAACTGAAAGACGAAATCACATATACAGAAAAAGAAATAGAATCAAGGATAAAAATGAGTTTTTTTTGTTTATAATATCTTTATTTTCTAAATCTTCTCTCTACTGAGTCCCTTTACTCTCGCAGTAAACAAGGGAAAAGGAACAATGCATGAAATCTCATGCTTACTGGATATAGAGGGACCCCATAGCTCTTTTTTCTTCGGAATTAGCTTGAATGATAAAGACCTTCAATTTCACATTCATCTTTACACTGAACTTACCGATCTAATTCAAAGGTTTCAAACCACAAAGGATTGAATGGCTTCGACAATCGCATATAATTACAAGAGAGTGATGAAACAATGAATGCAGCAACATACTGTAATAGATATGTTTCATTTCAAACAAGTTTGCTACAAAATTTTAATGTCATCGCACTGTGATTCCATCTCAAATTCGAGTAAGGGTAAAATTTTCAGAAATACCTGCATAAAAAAATTCCCATAACTTCTCTGATCAGGCAAATCTTAAATGTTTTTTCTTTCTTAATTTCTAAGAGACAACTTTTCGTGACGATTTGAAACAAGAAAAGTGCAGTAAACTATTAGCATCTTCGAAATGTACTAAATCATTTTACCTCAAATCTTTCGATGGCATCTATACAGTTACTTGCTTTCTCTAATAATTCCGCATAATCCATGTATTCAGCAAGACGCTGCAGGAAACTGAGTGGTTCATTGAAAACTACTGGAATAGAAATTCGCGTTAAATCCTGAAAAGATCTGACGATTATGCTGCTATTGAATGCTGGCTGAAGGATTTCTGATCTCAATCAAATCCTCCTAGTTTTCATCCCACAACATTCATATTTTTGCACATAAGATGGGTCTTTTTCATTATTTGGAAGACAAAATTAAAGATGGAATAGGATGGTTACACACACGAATACTTTTTACCTTTCCCATGCACTTTTTGAGCACACTCCATACGCTGATTTCACTTTTCGAGACCATCGAAGCCGGTAGAACACTCCTCCAGTTATGTACGATATCTCCACCACTCAGCTTACAACTTCCCATATCGGCAACATAGTCTGTAGTCATGCCTTTGGGCAAATTGAATCAATAATAGGGTTAGATTCGTATCAAATGGTCATGTAAGACAGGATTAGTTTAATCAAAGGATTGGTTGAATTCTCTGAAATGATGCCAATTACAACATCCATTTTTTTGTCACACTGCACTGTACAGGATTACACTACTAAAGTAAGTGAAAAAGCAAGTGAACAATATCTCCTTTAGAACAATTTTATTCTTTGTTGTTCATTTGAATGAAGCCAAAACAACACGTATATATGCTCAGTGACGTATTTATGACTAGTTACGTACAAGACACTTACCAATCATTCAACACCAAATTTTCTTATTCCGCACCAACTATGATGCATTGCGCAAAGAAACCGTCAATTTCATGAGCCGTCTCATAGCACATACAGGCAACGGTTTTTTTGAAAGGATTTGAAGATGTAAGAGCGTTGAGAGTATAACAACAGGAGATGAGGAGATGCAGCAGGCGCAAGGGCTTATAAGAGAGTATGTTATTAAAAGTTAAGGGAGTGCAATATTATATGGTAATAGTGATTGAGATTGAAACGGAAGGTGGAAAAAGAGTGTAACAGAAATTGATAAGAGTAGAAAATGAAAGTGCTTTGATAATTACATGATTGGACAGGCAGGGATTGAAAGTAAGGTTGGCGTGTATAGTACCAGTCTTCAATATTTTTGCCTCATTTAAATTTTTAGTTCTTCTGTTATCATAATTGTCGTTATTGGGAAGTGTCATTTGGCTTCGCAATCGTGTCTTTTCATATAAATGAATTTGCAAACAAAGAAGTTAATTAAAGGAAGTTAGATGTTTAGCCAACGATTTGATTTGATTTAATCTGTTTTTTTCTTTAATTTATTTTTTGCGTAAAGTTAAACCATTGAGTAACGAGAAGTGGCATATTCCAGAAATGGTGGCATCAAGATGGATACGGATGACACGAGTTGCCCGTACATATCCTCGTTGGGTATGGAATAATTGGCCCTTACATGTGAGACATTTGTTATTTACTTTTTCTGCAATAGACGAAAAATGTTATAAATACTTTCATCAAATTAATTCAACGAAACTGTATAACTGATGGTTAAACTTCTATTTCTACATATCTGTAATTATTCTCAAAAAAGAATATTTTTACATATTCACACTTCATAAAGAGACACTTTACACTTTTCACCACTCGTACCATATAGTATGTATCTATTGATGACTGTTTAAAGACATATCCGGCTGATCAATTAAAGTAACTTTAATCCTTGTCTTATTCTACGCAAATTGTTTTGCAGTAAGACAAGTTACCAGTTACTCAAATGTTGTATTTTATTTCATACAGCTCTTTATACTTTCGTTTTAGACAAAGCAATCTCTTTACACTTTATTGAATAATCAATATCAATTTTTTTCAATCAGGTCATTTCAGTTCGTTGGTGTTGTATTTTGCTTTATTCCGATGACTGTTATTGTCATCTATGATATCATCAAGTACGGTTCGGGATATGATTGTGAGTATTTCTTTGAATTAAGTTTTAAATTTTTCTGTGAGATAACTTTTGTGTTTTTGTGTTTCCAGAACATGCCGACTAATTTTATTACACAGTATACTAGGCTTATTAATCGATAGCACTGCGTAAATCTCTGCGTAAATTACTCATCAAATAGGATTGTAGCAGTTCTGCACAGAGTAAAGCATTGCTCTCTTTGCTATTTTTGTTAAATTTCACTTTCGATATTTTTCAGCTATGCCTTATTATCGAAAGTATTACCACGTAGTGCGCCCCGATGATCCGATTGTCATTCAATGGAGACCTCCTGAAGTTGGTTTTGAAATTTTATTGGTTTTGAATAGTAAGATAGATGGCTGTTGAATTAACAGCTTTCTACTTTTTTATTCTATTTTCAACGTGTTTTATTTGTTCAGTAATTCTTAGAATTTAGGAAGACGAAATTTTTTTGGATCTAAAAAATGACAATACTTTTAGGATTACCCAGCACCATTTCAAACAAATCGCGCAAATCGCTGGCCAACTTCTTACTGGAAAGACTATGGACTTGGCTTAAGGAAATGGAAGGATTAAGTCAGTAAGATTGACGCAAGCTTATTCGCTGTCCAAGACTGATTACACATTTGCTGTGCAACTGTTGATCATGGTTTCGATTTGTAATTACAGCTTTTAATAGGTTTCATCAATTAATTTCAGTGCTTGTTTAGGAGTGTATAAAAATTCACATTTGTTACAGGCTAGTGATTTTGCATTTTTTTTCGGAAATTACTAAAATCTTTAAAGCTGCATGCAATATAAATGTTATAAAGTGTAAGGAATTCAAAAATTTTAGGAGAAGCTGTAGTAGGTTAAAATACAATTAAAAACAGAAAATTTTTGATAAAAATGTTGCATCACAATCATCACAATATTTGAATTTCATATAGACGTAAAAGGGATTTCAAAAAAGAAAAGCAGAAATCTCACAAACATTTTATATCAACGTGCATAGAGTTTTGAATAGAATTAGAATTCAATTAGAATAGGACAGTTTCAGTTGCACTTCAGAACATAGCATACTACCTCTATCTTTTCATAGGTATAAAATACACCCTCTGAAGATTTTTTGTTTTGGTTACGAAATATCAAATGTATTATATTGTCCGTCTGTTTGTTTCAGTAGTGATAATTGTAACATAATAGTTTCTGATAGGAGCGCAAAATGATCCAGGTCGGTGACTCCAAAAGATGCATTATGATTGGGCAAAACTCCACAACTTTCGTTGCAACAGTTGAGGCCGATGATCGGGTCGCCAAGACTATATATGTCGTAAGAGTTGCGTCCTTCGAAACGATGTGGTTGCGAATTCAATTCTTTCTGAAAAATTTCCGTAAAATATCATGATAGGTGCTTAATGCAGAGATTCTAGGAAGTGAATTGTCCTTTAATGTATCGAAGTGTTTCGCCATGAACATGATAAAAAGTGAAGTTTTATGAAATGTAAGCGGGCAAAGATGAAGTTTCTTGATGTGCTAGATAACTTGAATATTTCCTACGAAATGTATTTAGTCTTGTAATATATTTATTTTAGTCCTTTCCATTTCTGAGCAACTCTAAAAGCCTCACTCTTTAAAAAGAAGGTTCACAATAAGACAGAGAGTAAGGGACCGTTTGTCGTTCGAAATTAATTTTCTTTTCTAACCATAAGTTTGGAGCTGCAGTGTAGGGACGAAATACTACCGCAAAGAGGGATAATTGAAGGACATATCTGCAAACCATGATTTGTACCACCAACAGTTATAAATGTATTAACCTGAAAATATTCCTGGTTTAAAATTTTCAGAGGAAAGCGGAACCAACATTATGCAGAAATTTCTTTGAGCAAACAACTGCTGAATTAGCTGTCACGGAGCATATGCAAGTTTATAAGAACTGCATATGCTTTAAAGCGAATTTCAAGTCATTTTGGGTAGTAAAATCCCCAAATATTTGAATGGAAATGTGTTTAATTGAATGAAGTTTCTGGCTAAATTTAAGGTGTATTGAACTTATCAAATAGATAACTAAACAAAGATTGGAAATTTTAGTTGTTACTATAATATGATTATAAATAATTCAGGAAATCTACTAAGAGCACCAATTGAGTGAGAGGAAGGCCAAGTAATTCATCAGTATCAAAGCAAAAATTGCCGAGAATTGCCTTCCTCGAAACCGCTGAACCCATGGAATGCGCAATAATATCGACAGTCTTTCTTGTGTAGTTATTCACAGCTACTAACATTTGACGAATCTGAAATTTATAATTTGCAGATTTGAAATTTTGCTCCTCATCGTCACTGTCTCAAGAATTTGAATTGCAGTCGTACTGTAAGACAGTACAAAATTATAAATTTTGTGACGGTGACATGCTTGAACTTTTATTTCTGTAAAGTTTATTGGCAACATCGTCAAAACTTCTCATATTCAAAACAAAATGCTTTCGACTGTTGAATCGATTTTTCCCATCCACTATATACTTTCTCCGAACCACGTAGCATGCATAATCGCATCCAGATATAATATGGAAATGTAAAATATGCTTTCTCCGAGAAGACGAAAAAATGGGATTTCGTCGTAATGGGAAGAGGTCGGATCATATCGCTTTGTAACTTTAAAAAAAGAATCATTCATTTAAAAAAAAAAAAAAACCAAAATCCGATCGAATGATCCATATCAAAACTCGGATGATCAAAGCCCACTGAGAGAAATTTCCTCAGTGCACATTTTATTAAGGAACTACTAATTTCTTTGCATACCTGTTTGATGTATTTGCAGTGAACACCATCGAAAATTGCTGAATTAATACCATTACCGTATGATGTAGCATAAAGCTCGGACGAAGAGTATCCTTTATCAATAAAATATTCACGATGTTTCAGGAATATGGCAGCACGTGAAAACGCTCCATGCACAAAAAGCACTGGCTGAAAATTTGAAATAAGTTAAATATTAATTAGTTTATAATACATATATTATATATATAATATATAATACATAATATAATATATGTTAAAAATTTGCATATATAGCAAAAAAACTAACTTTATTATATATGGGGTCATTTTCATTTAGTTTCCCTCCAAAACTTCCCCAATGACCAATGCCCATATCGAGCCTTTCTAGCAGTTTTTGTGTTCTGATCCCGTACCTTCCGCTTAAGAAATTGTTGAAATGATCGGTGAATTCTGCCTGACTATGATATTCGTTACTTAATAGCAGTAGTAATACATATAGTAGCATTATCCTGAAATCATTTCATGATTTTTAAAACTTTTAACTTTAATGGCTTTAATTTTCTGATTACACCGACACGCATTTCTACCAATCAGTTGATCATCTTGATAACTTTATTTTGCGTCTTCCAACAAATCACTTTGTTCTCATCTTAGCATTTCATGAATTTTCAAATTATTAACTTTAGAACGAATTAAATGTCCAAGGAAATTCGAAAATTTTTCGAACAGAAAAAAATAAATGTGAAAGAGAATTGTAAAAATGTATCAGCTAATGTATCATTAGTATCACGAATTATCTTAAAGATATTAAACAGATCGTAAAACAATAACAATTTTCTTGAGTAGAAATTTTCAAGGAACAACTGTCAACACTAGACTGATTGATTAAAAAAGTGTACAACAAATTGTTAAAAATTAAAAATTTAATTCGATGTAAAAAGAATATCAGCAAGCAAAATCAATAAACTTTAAGCAATGTCGTCAGTATGCATTGGCAATGAAATTATCATAGGCAAAAGTCTACAGAGTAAAATAGAATTGAAAATGAATTTGAAAAGGTTTAAAATTGGGGCAAGGTAAAAGATAATGATTTACTGCGATTTTCATCCGATAAGATAAACACACTTAATAAGAAATGATCATCATTCAATCTTAATTTAATAATTAATCCATAAATTTATAAAAGTAGCATTATGCGTGTTAATGAAATTAAATTTAATTCTTCATAATTTTCATCGAAAATAACTCGTTATTTATCTTTACTATAAAAAATAATTATCTTATTATTGATTTGATAAGTTTTATTCTATCTGATAAGTTTTTCTTTTCGTTGCTTTTCTTTCATATTTAAAATAACTTCAAGATAAAGTAATGAGAGAAAATAAAACTTTTTAAAGAAGTTTATCTTTTATGTTTTAGTCGTTCAATTGTCTTTCAGCTAAAATAACCTTTTTGCCAACTTTTACTGTGGTACTTCTAGTCCAATCAGTATTTACCTATTTTAGGATAATATGAAATTAAATAAATGAAATTGAAAAACGAAGTATTAATGAGTAGAAGCAAAAAAAAAAGAAAGATTCTTTTCTGTTCGATAATTTTTGTGATTTTTAGTCGATTTTGTTCTCTTTAGTTTACATGGCAAATATAGGTCAAATGTTTTTGGTTAAATATAGTGTTAATAAATCATCCATTAAGTCTTATCTCTTAGAAATCATTCATTTGTAGCTTCTTTGAAAAGTAATTTAAAATATTTCATTTACTTCAAATATATCAATTCAATTTTGTTAATTGAATTTTAACTAAAAAATTTCATACAGCGTAAAATTTCAATATTTTAACTGATTCTGTATTAATTGGCTGTTGAAAAAATAACCATCGAAATGTATGTAAAGCATAATGAATTAAGTGAACGCCAAATATATCAGAAATAAATTTTAAAAAGAAATTTTAGAGGGATGAAATATGAAAACATTATGAGAGTCCGTTTATAGACAATTGTTGAAAGAATGATAAATTAATTCATTTACTGAGAGAATAAAATTAATTGTATTATTATCATGCCAAAGCAATACGCAAGCTTGTAACATTAAAGTAATTCAATTCAAGTTCATAATAAATTTTGGCTTCTTGTCTCCAAAAATATTGAGACAAAGCTTTAAGTCTTATAAATTTAACCTCTCAAAGACCTTCAAATATATAAAGAATATAATCACACTATTCATTACATAACTCATTTTTTGCATATTAAACAAACAAGCTTTTAATTTTTTTTTAATTCATTAATTCAAAAATTAATTTCAGGTACAATAATTACTTACAGTTCGGCAAAGAATACTTTAAAGGTAAGCAAATTCTCCGATATTTTATGCAATCAACAGGTAAATTGTAATACTGATTGCAAGATTTGATATTGTCAATTTTATCTCTGTTATAAAGTAATTAGCTAATATCGTCTTATTTTGTGTTATCACTTTTTCATTTTATGCGCTGTTGATTAGCCAATTCTATCAGGTTTAATAAGGAAAAACATAAATTTGTAACTGAATCACTTTTAACGAATAACCTCAATGTCGGCTTGATAGGTTAGTAGTTGACAATAAGTTGTTTAATTTTAACCATTTCGGAAACAAGTAACTCTCTTTAATTTAATATCAATTGCTCCTTCTATCTAAGCTATGATTTGTTTTTATCATATTATTTTTCTGTATGATTGAAAACGCTTCATCGATATGATTTTTACCAAATAACCTATTAGGTCCATTTCAACTAAAATTTACATTCAGCTAATATCAAGCCTAATATCTGTTGAAAAATAGATTATAGAAATTTTTTTCAAAAAGACTTTAAGAACAATAACGAAAAACAAGCGAAATTATTTCTCTTCATTTAAAAATATAATTGTTAGAAAAAATTTATTGTTTAAGTATTTAAGAAAAGAAAGGAATCACAATCTTTAGAATTTTCTATATATTTTAAAATCTCTGAAAAGTTTATCATCCGAAACTGATAGCAACAAGGAATAACGTTTATGTTTATTTCAAATACTTCGAATGAAATTCCTTCATTTATGAAATATTGAACAGAAATATTTTGTTGTACATATATATTTAAGGACGGATAAGTACAGAATATTTTATTTAATAACCTAATTTCAACGTTTATTTCAATGTTGAAATTGATATACTGCATGCAATGAATACATGATAATCTCAGAGGAAAATATTTGACGAAATAATTACTAGTTGTTATATTTCAGTCGGTGTGAATTTTTTATCGCAAAACAAAATATTGCGATTGAAATATTTTTTGAGTGAAAAATAAATTAAATTTTCAATTCATTAAATTAATTTCGGTAAATCCATTAGATTTACTCTTTGATAAAATTGCCATAAATTAATTGGAAATAAGTTACAGTTTATGAAGATGTCAAGGCGATCTTTTATGATTAGAATTGGTAGTTGTTAGTTTCAATTCTCATTTTCTTTATTATACAGATCATTTCATTTCAGTATTATATGAAATTTATTTGGTTTATATGATATAAAAGAAATTCAACATATTATCATATTGTTAAGTAATATATTATTATCATATTGTCCTCTCTCTTAACATTAATTATCAGAATTTCTCTTTTATTATATATGAATTTTAGAAATTTTTAATTTCCACAATATATTGAAGTAGATGTGTAATTTAAGACAAGGATAAAAAACATTAAAATATCTTTCTCATACGGATATTCGTGGATAATTTTACTGTGTGATTATTTTTGAATTGTTATAAATTCAATTTTCAGAAAGTTATTTTTTTTATCGGATTTCGTTTTTTGAACTGTTCACTTATTAATTGGCATTAGAATTAATGAATGGACAGTTCAAGCAGATTTGTCAACTCCATTTTCTTACAGCTATATATTCTTCTCGATAAGTAAATTAAGGTTCAAAGTGTACTTCCAGAATGTTATTGGAATTCTCCTTACTTTCAGTCTTACTAATTATCTCCCCTTTCTTTTGCTATGAATTTAAAATCTGTGTTTTATTCATTTCCTTGTAAAAGCATAGATTATAAACACACTTCTTTCTATAAACTAATTACTGTAATCAATTTAAATAAATCACTTTTATCTTCTCCATCTAATATTTAAAATTCCATAATGCTTAAAAATAATAAGTATTGACTCATTTAAATCACTTAGATCATTACAGTAATTAGTTAATGACATTAGAGAAAACAACTAACCAATACACACACATACATACATACATATATATATATATATATACAGACATAGACATACACATACACAATTCGAACATCAATGCGCAAATGTGCACTGATACATACATACACCTGCAATATCGGTGATGTCTTATGCCCACGAAGCGATTCGTTCCTTCCACGTTTGTCCATCGTTCCTGTTGTTATTTTTGCATATTGGAACAGTTCGTTACATTTCTCTGTTGATTGAGTCTTTATGATATCAGAATTTGCTGCTCTTTAAAGGATAATACCGCTTACCCCATTATCGTTTTAAACTTATCCCTTTCAGCTTATTTATTTACTAAAGTAGTTGCATATTGCTTTTGTTATTTTGTTATTAGTAGCATTGGTAGGAGCAATGATAAAACGATTAATGGAATAATATTGATAGATAGAATTGGAATTTGTGAAAACAACAACGAGCTAAATGTCTTACCATTTACCGATCTCCCGGGATTTGTTGTAATAAAGTAATGAATGCAATTATGCTGTTATTCGATACTCGAATGTTATTATCACAGAATTGCGTTATTTAACAAAATGTTGCATGATTTTTCACAAGTCGTTATTTTGGCATGTATGTAAAGCGCATCTGTAACTGTAGCTGTACAAAGTCTGTAAATATTTCGAATATGTTTTTTGCCAAATGTGAAATGAGACAATTGTTGTTGTTGTGCCATTATTTTCAATTAAATCGATATGTTGAAATGAAGAAAATTAATCCATCTAAAGATGACTTAATTTTGTTCATTAAGGTCAGTTAAGATCTTCATAACATTCAGAATTATATTTAAATGGATCTTTAGCATTTCTCACTTCTTGAAATATCACAATATATTCTATCAATAGAGAAATCTTGCTTTTTGTTCTAAATTCATTTATGGATCGAAGGAAGTATCCATCACATTTTATTGCGATATTTAAATTAAATCAAAATAGAAATGATCTCCCAATAATAGAATTCGATTAATTGATTGATTTTGAAAATTGAAGATAAATAGTTGTGAAAGATCAAAAGTTTTTAAAATTTTAAATTTCTACAAATCAATTTAATCATTGCATTAAAGCTCTACGTTACGATTCTTTAAAAGTTATAATTTTCTCCTTCATTGCTTCTTTATACCCAAAGATTTCATATGAAAATATAATTTACTTTGATATTATTTTGATAAAAGGATTATCCGATGACCATTTGACCATTTACTCATCCATTTAATCCACCGATTATCATTCATTCATACACTCATATATTGCATGTAAATCATGTTCCAATTTATTATCTCTGAAAAATGTACTTCACTTTCCAGTTTATGAACAAATAAAATGTGACTTGTTTATTTCTCTCTCTCTCTCACTCTCTTCCTCTCTCAATCATTTCTTCCATCTATCAAAAATGTCACCAATAAAGTGAAGAGAAGGCAAAAATACATGCCTAACCATTTTAATATTAATATCAAAAGTATTAATTCATTTCTTATTTGTTCCTCTTTCCATTTTTAATTAAATATTTGCAATTACTTTTAATTATAAATTTTGTTTAGGTATTGATAATTAATTATTAATTTTAGTTATCAATACTATTTTCATTTGGAATTTCATTGCAGAAAACTTGATCCATTCCTTTCATTCTTTGTTTACATCTCAACTTTAATGTTTGGAATTGTGAAATGTTTAAATATTGTCCAATTTTTATTGACACTTTTTCTCTTACATATGAAAAACATACGAAAACTTTTATTTGCAATCTTAATGAATTCGATTATATAATTCTTGGAATGATGAAATTTTCAATAGACAACTAATGCATTCATTATTTGCTTTGATCTTTGATTCATTGAAATTGATTTTAATTAAATGCTATGATTTGTAGGATAGAGTAGAACAGAATGTGAAATTTATGAGATATTATCGTTTCTTTCGGGGTCATTTATAGGTCAAAAAAAAATGTTAACATAATACTTTAAATATTTCAAAAGGATATTATTGAAATATTAAATGAATGATTGGAATTGATATTGTTATCTGAATTTTTAATAATCTAAAATAATATTAAAATTTTAAATTTACTTCATGTCTCATTGATAATCATTGGTAATATATTTTCAATAATTATTAATCTAATTCTAATTTGTCAGACTCTTTTTATCACATCGTTAATCTCAAGAAAGCATATATTACATTGTACTCCTGTCGATTTAAAATATTTCAAATTTTTTTACTGATTTCTAATTGACGAAAATACGTTATTGTTTCTATTCATTACAACATTAAACAAAATGAAAATAAAAGTTCATTTTTCTTCAAATCGAAAATAAAAATTAATATTATATATAAATTATAATTAAATGTAATATTATATATAAATTATAATTAAATGATAAACAATGCATACATTTTACAAGCAAAAATAAGTAATTCTGTAATTTCATTTTTTTAAGATAGTAAATTTCAAGAATTAACGGGAATGAATGGAATGAAAAGTGCTAATTGGTGTGGTCGTAAGGATTTTCGAGAGAATCTGTCATCATTGTGTGATATTGTATGAATCGAAGGTGGCACATTATGAAATAATTGAACAGTCAACCAACGTTACTGAATTGTTTACAATTCAGTAACATTGCAATTTTATTTTAAAAAATTAATGACAAATTTTTCTTTTAAATTTAATTTCAATTTTTTTCCTTTTTTGACAAATTCGCCTAATTTATTTTCTGATTTACATATTTCAAAATGTGTAAATTATATAATTTTTGGAAAGATATACGAAGATTTTTTCTGTAATTTTAAATTTGTTTATTCCATTTGTTTACCTAAATTAAAGAAAGAGTAATTAAAAGGTTTATACTTAAATTAAAGAAAGAGTAATTAAAAGGTTTGTACTTAAATTAAAGAAAGAGTAATTAAAAGATTTAAATGAAAAATTATTTTAAGAGAAAGAAAGAGGGAAAATTATTGTAAGATCTTTTCTCACTTTTTTACTTTCTTCTTTTCTCATACTTTCCTATACTATTTTAATATTTCTACAATTTCTTCCTCATCGAATATTTTGATGAAAAATTAGTAAATATGAATTTCAAATGGTCAAAAATTAATAAATATAAATTTCAGATGATATCAACAACAATAACCCGAATTGTGTTGAAAATTTTCCAGTTAATTTGTTCCGTATTTGTGATATATTGTTTATATAATACAGGTCCACATTGGATGCTTACATTATCATGTCTTCTAGTACCTCCTTTTAGTATGTCACTTTTGATTTATTTTATATTTTTATTCACTCTTTTTATATGCTTCGATTATGAATGAATGAAAGGATAGTATTTGTGGAATTTGTTGGATTAGCAATTTTAGGTTAAACCGAAAAGAAACTTTACCATCTTCCAAATGAATTTGCAGAATAAGTCATTATCACTGAGCAATATTTCCTAAGTTGATTATATAACCATTTTGAATCAATTTTACTGAAAGTGACCGATCGCATCCTAATAACACTGAAATTATCAAATATCGCTTCCTGGCATTATTTTCATTATTATTCTTCTTTTTTTCAAGTCTGAATTTCAAAATTTTCAAATTTCAAAATTTTCAAATCTTAAATTAAGATTAAAAGAATTAAGAAAAGGACAGTTAAAGATTATCTGTCAATGTGTTATAAATTAGGTCAGTGCTCCAACAAAGCTATTTGTTTTAGGCATATATTTGATATTGCGATCACCAAATAAAAAAAATCGATGCGATACATACTATGGAGCAGTAAAAAGAAGTTGGCTCCGAGTTGAAATTGCAATATGTTTCACAATGACTGTCGTCTTCTTCGGTTTCGGCATTTTATTACTTTACGGTTTTTATAAGGTTTCTAATTTGTTAAGAAACACTTATATCCATGTATATGCGAAATGATATTTAATGTTAGAAAACAATTACGAGGTTTCTAAATGGTTGGTGTCGTGAAGTATCATTAGGTTTTTTTAAATCTGCAAAGAAGAAATGTAGTTTTTGGTAATTTCATTAAAGTAAAATTTTCATGAATTATCAGAAGTCATTGAGTTTAACATACGTTGTAATTATTGCAATTAAAATTTTGCTAAATGAATAATTTGAGTAATAACTTAAGGCTTAAGGCCAAAAAAACGTACTAATGAGTACGTCTTTTTTGGCCTTAAGTTTTCTCAAAGAGTTAAAAATGAATACAAAATGTTTAAATGAAATAAATATTAAAATTCAACAGTTTTTTTGTAATTAGATTGATTTCTGAATTTTAAAAAATGTTTGAAATTTCTTAATACATCAGAAATGTGCTTAATGCCAGATAAATATTAAATAATCAAAAGTAGAGTTATCATTCCATTTCTAGATTTTAATTGCCTAAAAACCGACGAGTAATTTACTTTTAAACAAAAGCATACTTCCAAATGTTGCAAGAAAACTTCCTGTAATATTTTCTATAGTGTTGTTGAAGTTCATACAATAACAATTTCAATCATTCAAAAATCTCTATATTGTTTAGTTGAAGAACAACTTGTACTTCTTGTTGGCTGGGATTGGTTCGGTTCTTGCTGCATTATTTTACATGATCAATGTTTTGGTCACTATTGGCCTATTAAGACAAGATATCACGGATATTGTTGTGAACGAAAAAGCACTAAAACAGATGTCTTGCATCACAAATGATGATTTAAATGTAAGATCGTTTTTTTTCATTACTTTCAAGAAAATTAAATATATGCAATGGCTTACGATAAAGATATATAAACCGGAAATGTACCTGATATTTAAAACAGATCAACTTGACATATAATTCTTCATTTAAATGATTTCATTTACTGCATTTTACTTTTCTACGGCAATAGATAAATTTAAATATGAGAGATTTAGAGAAATTTGCCTATCACGATAATAGAGAAGAGAGAAATTTACCTATTATGACTTATTATGATTTAAAGAAATTTTCAATTGCTTCTCGTTATTTTCATTCATTAAATAATAGATAAATTAAGCAACATTTAGATTCAAGTTTTATAATAATTATTAATAATAACTAGTATTTGTTACCCTTTAATACAGTGATATATTAAATGTGGAAATAATTTAATCAAAGTATTAAATATATTAAGGAACTGTTGTTATTTACATATTATGAATTTATAAAGTTGAAATTTTATGAAATGATTATCAGAAGCTAAACATTCTTTTGTATCATTCGTTTGCTGTCTATCTTAAAATCATTATATCATTCAATTTATATTATATAATAATTTAAAATCGATTCAAAGAATGAATCGGAACTTTCATTATATACATGCAGAAATTGATTAATTATTAAAATAACATATTTCTGAAATGATTTTGATAGAGCAATGAATATTTTTCCTCACTTTTTATTATTTTCAAAATGCTAAAAGCTTGAATTAGTTTATCAGCTTGAAACCAGTAGTTTCAAACTGATAAACTTATTATAAAAACTTATTTTACATGAATTATATAGTTTCATAAATTTTAACGATAAAAAGTTTATGTGAATAAATATATCCTAATATGTTGAAAAGGTACCATCTATTCCTGCCATTTATAATCTATTGTTAATTTTTCATTCAATGTTAAGATATATTTATTATAGTAAACAAAATTCTATTTGAATCAATTATCATCTAACATCCATTATTCACTGTAATTTTATTAATTTCAGTTTTGATATTATTTGTGAACATTTTAGAGAGAAATTGCATCTGTTAGGATAACTTCGAAATTGTGTGATATTTTGAAAACTATTTTGGTTTATTTGATTGAGAAAAAAATTCCACCTTCCTTCTAAAATAAATTCTTTTTAATTAATTACTCTTGAAAAAATTACAAAGTGAATTTACTCGAATGAACATGTCTAAGAAGAATTAAAAGATTACAATATTTTTAATTGCTTAAAAAGAATGATCAATATATTAATCCTTTGCAGTTTGACCAATAGATTATAGCTATGTTTAGAAATCAAAATTCCATTTAATTATATAATCACTATTAGAATCGATCTTTGTCTTTTAAATGATAACAGAAAAATTTGTGGAACCAACCATAGTTGTAACTTATTATAAACTGAATAAATTACTCAATGTAATCATTCAATAAAATTGCTGAGATGAATGAAACGTTGAAATGAGCTCTGATCAGTTAAACTTTGACATTGTGCATATTTGTTGCAATGCAATGATAAGTTCAAATGAATGATAAGCATTGTTTGCAAATGTTATGTTATCTGTTGCATTTAGTCACGAAATAATTTCCATCCAATTTTACATTTATTTCTCTACCATCGTTATCATATATGGTCATCAGTAGTTTCGCTTCATCATTTGAATCTTTTTCAAATTTCTATTAGGTGAGTTGAGTGATTATGGAAATTTTTGCATACATCCAATTTTCATTCCATTTCTCAATTAAAACGAATTTTAATTAAGAAAGAATTAATTAAGAAGTTAAGAAGAAAATTAGAAAGTTTTAATTAATTAAGAAGTTTTATGGTTGTTTTTTCCTGTTCGTTCCATTATAGCAGAGAGTTTCTAGTATTATATCTTAGTATAGAAAAATTATAGTTCTAGAAATTTTTTAAATTCAACGAACTTTATAAGCTTTTTGAATATCCTTTAGTTTTGATTGTTTCTTTTCTCCAAATCAATTTGAATTTTGATACTGTTATTTTTTAATTACAGCATTTCTCAATATCAGTGATAAGTGAACATGATAAAGCGATGGGAAAAAATCAACAATTGAAAGGGAAACCGATAATATCGATTGAAAATACATCAGCGATATTAATGAGTCATCAAGATGATGTAAGCTATCATTTAAAGTCATTTTATATAATTTAACAAATGTAACTGATGAAAATTTTACAAATTGAATAGATTTTTCTCTACTTTTTTCATCCTTTTTTCTATTCCTCAATTTAATATATTATATATTGTTGTGTTATTTTCGATGATAAGATAAGCTTTATGCATGATGAAAATGTAATTCCTGAAATACATGTATACATGAAAAAATACCATTAACACCGATCAATTCCCGGTTATCACTTTACTATAGCTATTCACACACACACACACTCTCTCTCTTTTTCTCGAACAAAGTAGCAAGCATTGCTTAAGCTACCTTATGCGAAGAGTAAATTTAACGGCATAAAAAAAGTATCTGAAAACTGATTGAGAAGAGAATTCTAAGGGCTAAATTTATCGATCTACTCCCTTACAATAGTTTCACCATCTTAAATCATCAATATTTCAGGCATCACTTCCTGCTGATCAGCGATTTGAAACAGATCAACATATAATCGATTACATTCGAGAGGAGCTAGATCAACGTTTAGATAATGAAGTTAACAGACATGACAATAGCAGTACGAATTATAGCACTGGTCATTGCACAAACAGTAACAGCACTGATACTATTGATGATGTTGTAATGCTAGGATCGCGAGAGCGGTACCGATATGCATCAGCAAGAAACAATAATATATCAAAATCTAGTGCTCGATGTAATCAGAAACTTCAGCAGCGGTCCACTATAATTTGGAATCAAGTGTAAGGTTGCATTGATCAATAACTTATACATTTACATTTATTACAAGTGCAAAAAGAAAATTCCGATTGAGTAATAGTGTTATAAGGTTAAATCGCTCTCGATTAATTTAATCATGAAAGGTTAGTGGTCTTTAGTTCCATTCATCTACTCGTATGTTGCTTATATCTCAGTACATTTGAAATGTAATAGTCTGAGATAACTGTATTTCCAGTAGTTCAAGACGTAAAGTTACACCGATCCCATTGTTTGCTCCTGCTGAAGCAGAAAATCTGGATGACAATCATATTATTGAACATTTCAATGCTCATTTCTTGGCTACTCAAAAACATGATCCACTAATCGTCCACAGGTAAGGCGTTAAAGTTGCATATGTGGTCATTTCATGTTTACATCAAATTAAATATTTCATCTTCAGTTATCCCAAATCTTTAATACAATTACTAATTCAGAATTATTTTTGCTTTCAGATAGCATTCGAATTTTCATATTAGATTTTTTTTGATAGTGAAAAGATGAAATTATTACAAATTTCACTTTTCGGATACAATGACAGAATACCGAATAATGTGAAGTCAGATACTACTCTACATGTTAGCCGTCCAGTTGAGTTATCCCATCGACAACATCAGCATTTGCCTAACAAAACTGCTGAGGAATGTGGAATTATTATCGGGAGACATTACTCGAAAGGAAAAGATGATAACTCCAGACCTAGCGACAACGAAAGATTCTTGAACGATAATAGTAAATCTGGTAATTATTTATGGTGTACTGATAATCGGTTATAGAGAATGTTAAAGATCAAATCTACGCATTATAGCTGATAGAATGTACATTTAGATAAAATTTCGTATTTAAGTAGTTCCTGTATTATGCCAAGTAATCACATCAGGTATTTCATAGTTTAAAGGAATACTTTCGAAAGTGAAAGAGAGAACGAAAAGAATGCTTAAGAGAAACAAATGTCTCCTTGCTTCATATCTTTTCCAATTTCATTAATTTTTTACTTGAGGAAATCAATTTGAACAATATTACATTAAATTAAACCGAAGGTTCTTCTGAAATCAAAATGCAAAAATGAAGGAAATCCTATTCGCTATATAACTGTGACTACTAAAATATGCTCGATGGTAGGTAAACTATTCACGGAATTCTCTTTGTTTTCCGTCTTCAAACAACTTGCCAGATGTCATTTCAATTAGTCAGTTCAATTAGAGTACAGAAAAAGAAAATAGAGATTAACCGAGAAAACTATTCAAAATTTTCTGTGCATGGTACTTTAGAACTCTAAAATTTTAGTAATTTGTAGTAGTTTTTCAAGGAAAAACTGATGTAGAAAGCAAATACCAGAATGAAGCATGGATATTACATTAATGTATTTAAAGGAAATAGTAAACGGCAAAAACGGTGACGATTACAAAGGATTAGTAGCAGTTCCTTCATATTTTTTGACATTACTTTCAACTTCAAATAATGAGAATTTTTCCGGCAAAGCACATCTTATTTGTTTTAGTCTCATTTGTTGGACCAATTTGCTATTACAACAATTCAGCGGCAGCAGAGATAAAAAATCTTGATTTAGCCGTTCAGCCAGAGCTATTTATTGCAGAGGTACCGTCTCAAAATATTCGAAACTATAGTCGCAGTGGTTCCGACGATTCAAGCTCGCAGCAAATGTCTATCATGGCATTGCATACTTATGGTCGCCGGGGTTAGACACCAACTTTTATTAATGTTTTGTTTTCTGCTTTATGCTTATTTTTTCTCCTTTTGAAATCACCATCGAATAATTCGGAGGCAAACAGACAGCTAATGAGAAATAAACAAGAAAGGGAAGTGAAGGAGAATTGAATTTCAGGAAGTGGTCGAGGGAGTCAAAGAAGATGCTATTCGAAACATGACAATCGTCTTGGATCGGGGGACATTCAGCATCCATCTTATACTACATACGCTGAATCAAATGATAAAGGCTCGCTATCATTTAATAATTACAGGAGTGATATCAGGTTCTTATCAGTTCTATCTTATCTTGTATCTCAGCTTAATCGTTTCAGGCATCATCAAATAGCAGCCTTTAATGATATTCAAAATTAGTTTCACTTAAGAATTATATGGGCCATGAAAGTGCTCAGGTATATTTATCACTGCTCGTACTAATTTTTGGGTGCTGTTCGTAGTAAAATGTTTCAGCGGTAGGCAAAAGATATCGAATTTATCACGAGAGCAAGAATCGGTAGATCCCTCTTGCATGCCATCGATTGTAACAGCTATTGATTCAGGACGTGAATCAGATATAATTCGGAAAAACTCTCCGAAACGAACGAGTTCAAGAGACAGAAAGATAAGAAATAGAGGTACTGTAAGTTTATAATTCATAATTGATATTAAAATATTTTAAACGTAGAAATTAATTTAATTGGCTGCCCTGGTTCAATCTCGGATGTTATATGTTTGTGTTTGGGATATTAAAAAATGTTCGCATATGGTTGTTTTGGATACGTTTCACATACACTTTTACTATTTATAACAGAAAGTGGAAACTTTCGAGGATTTGATATGGTAATCGGAACGCAAAGTGGTGGTGAACGTTTCGCAAGTCGACGAAGGACATTGAGTGCTTCATCCTCCTCATATGATAAGCCTATTGAAGCTTATCTTGTCACGGAATTTTGACTAAACAATGTAAATGTCAATAATATTTGTTCTTTTTTTGTAGTCACTGATACGTCTTGCAAAAATCTGTGCCACTGAAATTAAAACCTCAGAAATTTGTGCTATTCAATCATCTTTTTACATGCATTTATATTCTTCCTAAAGAAGTTATATGCCACTCTCAATGAAAAAATTCCGCTATGATAGATTGGGACATAAATAAAGCAATCAGTAAATGAACGGTCGAGAATCATCTATTAATTCACATCAGCACTGATTTAAAATTGCGGTGAAATTGAATCGATTTAGATCTGAAGTTCGTAGTGCTTAAAACCATCCTCAGTACACAGTTCGATAGTTCCTTGATGTTGGATCGGAATCCGTTAAAGCTGTCACTAAATGATTGATGCATACATTATTTGGCATCAATCAGTTATTGATAGCTTTAACGGATTGACCCCTTATGTTTATAAAAAATGTCGAATAAGAGATCCATCTCACTCAGAAGAATCTCCGGTATCAGATGCGCACATCCGTGCATATTTATCTCACATTTCTCTTTCTGTGGGATTATCAGCTTTGTTTGGTATCCTATCCTCTCTCTAATATTCAAGCATTGTGAGGAATTTATGACAAGTTCTATGTGTGCTACAATGTCAAGCACGTTATCCCGTCACGACATACAATCGTTTGTATTTTTACCCTATTTCAAAATAGCGCTTTGAGAAGTTCAGTTGTTATAAACATCTTGCGGATCTAATCGATATTGATATTTTAGGGAGGATTACCTGGGAGTGTAACGTGTGTGGAGGTGGTGTGGCGGCTTGGCTTTTTCTTTGTTCGGGGTTTCGGGATGGGTCGGGTGGCCAGTCAACCGGTCAATATGGTGCTGTATTTGGATTATCATCGAAGTTTCACTTAATTGTTTGGAAAATCAAGTAAACGTAGAAGGGGTCGTAGTGATGAATAGTGGTTGGGATGTGAGGGGAGAAAGATGGGGAGGGAGGTTATGTGTGAGAGAGGAGGGGAATAACCATCCTGATGACTTGGAGGCAAAAGTTTGGTTGACGTGACGGATTGGGAGTTTGTTGTTCCAGATCACTTAGTACTTTCAACTTGAATACTTGGTATGGTTAAAGTTGAAGGCTCAGGAGATAAATTTGGATTGGAATCAGTCGTTTTTATCAAGACTCTTTCCAACTCTACATAAATTTGTGTTGAATGAAGACTGTTTTCACATTGTAGATTGTGTTAAGGCAGTGGGTGTGCCAGCCAGCTAAGTTGAGAAAAGAAACTATCTGTTGGTATAAAAATCAGGATCATTATCAGGCAGGCATTCAGGCAAGAATCAGGAATCAGTGAGAGAGACATTGTTATACTTCTACTACTGACTTGTTGTGAGGGGATCTCGATAACTTCACTTAATCACTATCAGAGAGACAGTCAGTGTTAAGAGAGTGACACAAAACAGACACAGATACGATGGTGAAGACTGAAGAAAACGGAGTAAGGCTTTTACTAATTTAGCATTTACTTTCTAGTTTTTTCCATTTTCTCTCACGTATCTTATTGACTTTTGTTTACATGTTGTTCGTTACTAATTTGGCTTAATGAGCCAAGGTAAAGCAAGCAGGCAGTTAACATGGAGAGATGCACAGCTATGATGCAGCAGGCAGGCAAATATCAAGGAATATATCCATGTTATTTCTAAGCTAACCTAAGATCTATATTAAAAGGACTGAGGATAAGCTTTCAGGATTAATCAAAGTTCAGGATAAGAGTAAGTTCACTCCATAACCAGGTAAAAGTGCAGTGTAAGATCAGGTAGCTTCCAAGCACCCCATTTTTCAGCTTTTTTTAAAATTATTTCTACGAATCTGATGCCATGGCAGTAGTGATTCGTATTGCTGGCAAAATTTATCGCTTTTTCAAATGGATAAACTTATAAGGCAATATTTTTTGGAGAACACGCCAAAGATTTGGAATTTCTTAACATGATCCGAAAAACGAGTACGGAGTTCATTTGCCGTTTGTTCTAGTTTTATAAAATAAGATCGATTCAGCAGATTCCGTTAAGGATGCGGCCGGTGGAAATCTCGAACCAGAACAATACCGGAAGATGTTTATTGGTGGACTTACAAGCTCCACTACCGATGAAACACTCAAAGAATTTTATTCAAAGTGGGGTACTTTGGTGGACTGCGTTGTCATGCGTGACCCAGCAACAAAACGATCACGTGGCTTTGGATTTGTAAGCTTCTCGAAGCAATCCGAGGTATGATATGGTTACCTTTTTAGACATCCCTCAGTGCAATAAAAGCCACAGATATAAAATGAGAATTTAAAACATTGGTTCCATTCATCTACGATTCACTTCCATAGGTTGATATGAATATTGCTTGATTATCGGTGGCATCACATACTGATTAATTTTTAATATGATCAGACTCCAAATTGTTGATGGCTGTTTTTTACCAAAAAGTTTTCACTTTTGAAATTGTAAACTTCATTTGGAAGATACGTCCACCGAAGTAGTCCAAAAAAATGAAACGACCAAATGTTATAGTTAATATTGTGAATGCTGACACTTGGCAGTACAGTAAATTTTGCGACATATAAGTCTAATAAAAAATATTCAATCGTAGGTTTATTTTTTCATAATGCATTCGAAAGAAATGACTCAAATTCTTTTTACGGTCACGATTTCTTGTATGAGATTAAATATTAGAACAGAAGCAGATATGACGATTTTGCTCATTAAACTGAAATGAACGTCTATGTGTGTTGTTGTAGGTAGATGCGGCTATGGCTAATAGGCCTCACATCATTGATGGCAAAACTGTCGATCCTAAAAGGGCGGTTCCACGCGAACAATCGCAACGAAGTGAAGCAAACATCTCTTCTAAAAGGCTTTATGTATCCGGCGTGAGGGAAGAACACACGGAGGATATGTTCAAGGAACATTTTGGGAAATATGGCAACATTTTGAAGGTTTATTTTTATATGTTTTGAAATCGTTATCATTTATAGTGTAACTGATAACTGATGATTTGAATGTTAGGATTCCCTTGTGAGAACAGCATTCATTTCTAATCTTACCATATTTCTTAAATCTCTGCTCCCATTCTTTTAGATGTTTTAAATATTTTCGAACTCCATTTTTTGAGACTTTTTTTAAAGCATGATTTAAATGTTTTTTGTGAAATTGCAGTTGTAGACTGATTGTGGAAATTTTGAGGTTTTGGAGTTTATGGATAGGTTAATTGTGGCTAGTTAAAACTTGTGTTAGCAACATTGAGCGCAGTCAATATTATTATTGATGAGTTTTCTTTTATTAATGAGATCAATACGAAGTAGAAATTTCTTGTCAAATTCTAATTTTTGTAAGTGGTGAGTGGCATGAATTGCAAACAAAGATGCGGAATGTAGGAAATAATTTTAGTGTTATTATAGTGTGAAATAATTGCGGACAAAAACACTGGTAAACCGAGAGGATTTGCTTTCATAACGTTTGATGACTATGATGCTGTCGACAAATGTGTTTTAATCAAAAGTCATATGATTAATAACTATCGTTGTGATGTAAAAAAAGCGCTCAGTAAGGAGGAAATGGCAAAGGTATTTTTCTTACAATTTGAAGTTTTCGACATCAAGTATTTAATAATTCCCGTTTGATAATTGTTTGTAATTGCTTTAGTTCATTTTTTTAGTAGTCGGTGCTCTTGTGGGTACCTTATCTGTCGCTGTAAACGCAAGAAATTGTAGCATATTCCCGTAGCATATTGGGATATATTTTGAATTTTTACACCTCACTGTTGTTTTGCATAGAACTGTTATCAACATAAGTTATGAACATGGCATGTGTTATTGCAAGTTTGGGTGCCAAAATCCTCGGAATAACCCCTGATATTACTGGGTTGGATTTTGTAGTAAAATGTATGTATAGGTTCAACAACAGGAACGTGAACGAATGGATCGAGGAGCACGCTCTCGAGGACCACCAATGGGTCGTGGTGGTGGTGGATGGGGTCCCGCTGGAGATAGAGGTGGTTATGGTGGACAACCGTGGGGCGCAGGTCCCGGCGGACCTGGTGGTTATGGAGCAGGTGGTGGTGGTCAGTGGGGACCGTCAGGTAAAGTAGTTTTTAATTATCCGTATTAGCTTTAATGTTTTGGTTGCTTTTCGAAAGTGATATAGTTTCATCATTTATTGTTATTAGAATAGCTTACTCAAGTTTTGCTTTGTAGGAGGTGGCTATGGAGGAGGTTATGGTGGTGGCTACGGTGGTGCACCCGGTGGTGGTCGTGAGTTCTGTGTATTATCAATTTAATTTTTTAGAAATAATGTCCATCTCCCCTTTTATTTGATCAATATTTTTTCTTTCCCCTGAATTAATAAAATAGCTCCTGGTAGATCTCATTCCTCTTGTTGAATATGAACTTCTATTAAATTAACTGATCATCTATTGACTTGGTTTTTTTTTAAACCGTGATCCGCTGTTGATTTTCCACCGCAGGTAAAGGGAGTGTGCATTTGACTGGCTGTTTATTTCTTATTTCTTAAGAAATGATGGTTTTTTGCTCTAAAGCTTTTTCATTGAGTTTTAAATCTAAAATTTCAGGGGGATGGGGCGGTGAAGGCAGTGGTGGTTGGGGAGGTCCACCGTCGCAGGGTGGATGGGGCGCACCATCCGGCGGTGCAGGTGGGGAAATTAATCCCAAATTATTTTGTTTTTCAAATTATTCATTTTTGAAATACTCAAAGTCATTTCTGCACTTGTGATTGATGCAGTTCTGCGGATTGAGGGCAAAATCAATTTTTCAAAAAGTACTTTGATGCTTACGTATTTCTGTGTTTCAGGTGCAGGTTGGGGCCAAGGTGGTGGCCAAGGAGGTTGGGGCACAGGCGGACAAGGTGCTGCGCAGTCGTGGGGTGGATCAGGTGGACAAAGTGGAGGCGGCGGTTGGGGAGGTCGAGGTTATTGAGAATGTGGGTTAAGCGAACATGCGGTACACATCTTTTCGCTGCTGATGCTTTTTTCATGATTTTTCCAACGATCTCAGTAGGTGGTACCGAAATACAGGTTTTATGCCATTTCAAGTTCTGTATTTCGACTCTTTACGGCTTTGCTGTGTTTTAGTTTTGCTGTGCCTCCCATTTTCTTTTAAGAAAGTTATGAAAATGTTGAGATGTTGGGAAAAGTATAGTTCTCTTCCTTTCGATCTACTGGCAGTTACATGCATTTTCACACTATTTTCTGTAATATCTGTAGACTTTCTAAAATCTTGTGAACATTTTTTTGTTGCTGAAATCCACTCAGTACAATTTTTACAATCTTTTGTAGTTCCGGCGTTTTCACATTGTCTCTGTCTCAAATTTCTTATTATTGCAGTTGTTGTTTCAGTTGCTTTTTTTTCAATGTGAAGCATTGTGTAGTATAAAACTTCGACAAGACTTTATATATGTTATTGTTACTGTTGACTGTTGAAAAAATTTCAGACCGACCAGTATTTTTTTTTCTAATGGTGATCTGCGGTTTATGCACTTATTTTGATTAATGTGTTCGTGCACTTATTTGGCCCATTGTTCTGGATAGTTGAAGTATTGACATCATTAGTTCAGCCATCAATTACTGTGATGGAATAAAAATAGTGTTTGAGTCAGTTCTGAACTGCACAATGACTTGGATGGCATGCATTGAGGGTTTTCATGTTTTATTTATAGAAGCTTTGTGTTTGGATTGAAGTGGTATTTCCTCAGCACACGTTACGCCGAAGAAAGCAAGGTTGGTTTTGGAGTTCTATATTGGTGAGGGCACCAGGTGAAGAGAGAGAGAGAGAGAGGGAAATGGAATTTCCCGTTGTACGTGCCTGGTAAGAAGAAGCGTGGGGAACTATTTGGTTGCTGATTGAGAATTGTTTTTGAAAACTTCTAGTAAATGTTGGTGCTCAGTTTTAATTTTAGATCTTTGTCAAATAAGAAGAGGTTAGGCTTATTGTCAGTACATCTTTTTTTCATTTCATTGAAATTGACGTGAATTTTATTTCACGTTTAAAAGATGGTAAGTTGTAGTACTTCTAAATACTTAACAAAGCGTTACGATTTATTTGGTCTCATATACTGATTGGTATTATATACCTTTAGATATTGCTGTGAGATCAGTTGTCAGTGACATACAGTATTTTGTGAGATCAGCATATATATACGTCATTTGGTACAACCAGTGTATGTACTTTACGTGATCAAAGAGGGAGTGACCGTATACTACTACTACTACTACTACCTCTACTATCACTACTGTCGAGACTTAGAAACAAAGAGAACGATGGTGAAGACTGAAGATGGTGTAAGACTTTACTTTAGTTTTGTTTATCGGGAGGAGAGTTAAAGATACGAGCAAGAACAGGTAAGGTACGTCCACTAAGGTGAGATGTAATCCCCCTTTATCGCATTCTTATCACTGGTGGCTATCTGTGATACTTGTTTTTGCTGTGATGAAACAAAAATGGCTTAAACTGATGAAATCAGTAAAGTAAGCTGTGGTTAATAAAGGCTGTGTTTTTTAAGTGCTGCAGTTTCTAAAGTTAAAATTCAAATAAGTTAAACAGTTAAAACAGGTGCTGCATGTATCCATCCTGTGCTTTCTGTCTTGAAACATCAATATCTCCCTATTCTTGTGTTGGGTGCTGCGAGGTTGGTTGCGTGCAATACTATTTGAAATGTTTTCTGTATTTAGGGCGATGGACTTGAGCCAGAACAGTTCCGAAAGATGTTCATTGGTGGTTTGTCGGCAACAACAACTGATGAAGCGCTTAAAGAATTCTATTCGCAGTGGGGTGAGCTAGTGGATTGCATCGTAATGAGAGATCCAGCAACAAAGCGTTCACGAGGCTTTGGATTTGTTAGCTTTTCTAAGCAATCCGAGGCAAGCTTTTTGACATTTGAAATAATTTTATTTCAAGCTTTTCAACAATGGGAAGAAGTGATTTTAGATTAGTTTCCTCTTTTTTTGTTATGAAGTAGTTGATGTGCATTGTATGGTTTCGCTGTGTGTTTTAGGTTGATGCTGCAATGGCGGCTAGACCACATGTGATTGATGGGAAAACGGTAGATCCAAAGCGAGCTGTACCGCGTGATCAGTCGGCTCGTAGTGAAGCAAATGTTTCTTCTAAACGATTGTATGTTTCCGGTGTTCGTGAAGAACATACCGAACAAATGTTTGAGGATTATTTCAGCCAATTTGGCAAAGTATTAAAGGTAATTTTGGTTCATTTTAAAGATAGAAAACATAGCTACTGGAGATGGAAATAGATGTAATTCTTCGTAATTTCATCATTTGATTCCATCATCTTTATAAAACTGGTAGGTAGTTTTTACTTAGCGGAAAGAGTGGGTGGTAATTCCGGTTCATGCTTGTTGGGGTATATGAAAAATGAAAAAAAGACGAGTGGTAACTTGAATGCATAGTGAAAAAAAAGTGGAAAAACTGATTGCGAAGTTGGTAGTTTATGGTTTAATTTGTTGGGATAAAATTTAACTATTTTTTTATTTACGTAAATTTATTCCTTGATTCCATGTCATTATTGCAGGTAGAAATTATAGCTGACAAGAACACTGGGAAACCGAGAGGATTCGCTTTCATCTCCTTCGATGACTATGATCCAGTAGACAAGTGTGTGCTGCAGAAAAGTCATCAAATCCATAATTATCGTTGTGATGTGAAGAAAGCTTTAAGCAAAGAAGAGATGGCGAAGGTTAAGCTAAAAATTCCACGTCAAAATAAGTTATCTTCCTTTGGAATTTCTAAAATTTAAACAACAAACTTGTAGGCTCAACAATTGGATCGAGAACGCACAGAGAGAATGGGACGATCACGAGGTACTATGAGACCTGATCGGTATGGCGGTGGGCCGGGGGGCTATGGTGGAGCATGGGGTGGACCTGGTGGTCCTCCTAGTGGTCAATGGGGGCCACCTTCTGGAGGTAATGTCATTCTCTGATCTCGAAGTAATACTGAGGATGTATGGTTTTGCTATCCTTTTTACAGGGTTGCCTAACTTTTTATTTGGTTTTGTAGGTGGTGGCGGTTATGGTGGAGGCTACGGAGGATATGGTGCTTCAGCCGGAGGTCTTTTTTTTTCTGGAGAGAAGTATTTACATTTTTGGAGAGTGCTTGTGCAAAATCAGTAATTTTACAAATTATTTACGAGAATTTTAGGATGGGGTCCAAGTGGTGATGCTCCAGGTGGCTGGGGTGCTGCTGCTCAAAGTACTTGGAACGGTTCACAGTCTGCATCCTCAGGTATGTTTTTGCGATCCAAGGAAGTAGCTATGTTTTCGGAATTAATTAAAAAATTTCAAAGATGCCGAGAGCCAACTTTATCATAATAAGAGGTCCTGAACTATCTGTTTTCCTTTTGAAATGGTGTAATTACCTTCATCTTACTCTGATTGACAACTTTTAATTACCAGAAATTTATCAATTTTTTTTGCAGGTTGGAGTGGTGGCAGCGGTGGTGGACAGGGTGGCTGGCAGGGAAGTGGTGGTAATGGACAACAGTGGGGTGGATCTTCTGGAAATTCAGGTCACGCCGGTTGGGGTGGCCGCTCTTACTAAAGTGTACCTACCCAAGTGTTCCGTGTTGTTTTGTTTCTTTTTGTTGTATTGTTAAATGCAATGGTACTTTTTAGACTGTTTACTCATAATTTTTGTACCATTTCAATTGAACATTATTGCACTTAAATTTTTTTCTGATGTGTAATTCATTAAAATTTTTAAGCAATTTTTCCGAAATTGGCAAATTTTTTTATTGACTGTAATGTTTTCGTTGATTGGAGGATAACAGGGGACGAGATTTTTCAAGTAGATTTGACAAATTTTTTCCCATGCGACGAATTAATTTAAAATGACTGCGCAAAATACACTGTTTTCGGGCATGTTCATGCTGTAATTTTTGGTGTCTCTTAGCAGAAATACATTGTTATTATTGACTGATATAAAGATGGTGTATGTTTCATTCGGAAATAGTTTTCGGCGAATAAAATGATTATGAATATTTTAACGACGTGGCCATTTTACATGGAATGCAAGTTACCATCTGTAATTTTGGTTGTCCGTTGCACATGTTAGTTTAATTGTTAACAGTGCGATCTGGGTTTTTTTTGAGTAGATCAAATCGAAATAGTCTTCAATTCAAATATTCGGAGTGAAAGTTGGGGTGGTCTTGAGTATAAGGTGAGACATGTATAGGATATAATTATTCGTCGTCGTTCTTTTAACTTAGTGAAATTTGAGTAGTCTTTTATATTTACAGATTAAATTCTCGTGAGGAAATAGGTTTCGTGCTTTTGTGAGTTTTTGAAGGTCGAACATGGCAAGGATCAAGTTTTTACATTAGAATGAGATGACTTTTGGGTGTGTATTATGGAATACTACGATGTGTCTGAGGACGAAAGTCTTTGGCCGTTAGTCGGAAGGAAAAAGAATGAGAAAAAAACTAGTGTGAATTTTCGGGATATCGCCTAGTTTGAAAGTAATCTTTTAAAGTAGACGTAGTAAGGGGAGGGGACTGATACTTTACTGATTTTTCAGAATTGCAATTTGTGGGGAATCAATAAAGATGTCTCGGGTTGAGGAGAAGTTGCGCTTGTGCTTTGAGTACGGCAATTATTATGAGGCACATCAGATTTACCGTACAATGTACAGTCGATTGTCGAACCAAGGGAAATGGCAAGAGATACAAGATATGTTATATAGTGGAATATTGCGACTTTTAGAAGGTTAGTTTGTCAGCTTGAAATTGGCTTTTTAAATTAAATCTTCAAAATTGCTGGAAGTTCGTCTGTTTTATACATTGTATGCAGTTGTGGAACTGTGTAAATTGAGAAGAAAATCGGATGAAGAGGAACTGTTAACAAATTTTACAATGTTAATAGGTACCTGTTTTTCGATAAGTGATTTTACTTACGCTAAATTTACTTGTCTTACATGCACACTTCTTTCGCTTTCGCAACACGGATTGTTCTCTTTTATTTAATATTATATCTCTCTGAAGTTATATGATATTACAGCAGGTGAAGCAGCAAGTGCAATCGATCTTGCCGAATTATTTGTGGAGGCTTTGGAGAAATCTAAAACACCTGTCTCTTCAGCTGTTTTGGATCGTTTTGATGAAGTTGGTTTATATGCTCATTTTGATTAATTTTTTAATGAATATAAACAAGAACAGTTTAACTTATATTAAGTTATTTCAGAGCATCAAAATGTTTACATTTTACTTATACCAATGTACTTTGAGTTGCTACTTTTGAGGTTTGATTGTGATCTGATAATGCAGTACATTAAGAAAGTGAATCTTTATTATAGAAAGTTGATACTTAAGGGATTAAAATTTGCAGTGCAAGTGATAAAAAATTGAGGGAATACCATTTTCGAGTTTTAATGAAGTTGGTTTACATGCTCATTTTGATTATTTTTTTGCTATTATTAAGTTACCATTGTAACTGCCGTTTCAGCTGCTTAATCTTTTACCAGCTCAGCTGGAAAAAGATTTAGAAGCTAATTCGGAGCGAGAAGATCGGAGAATACGGTACATATCACTAGGTATCAAATGGTCTATGGCTGTAGGCGACAGGAAGCGCTACCAGCGACGTGGTCATCCCGGATTGCATTTGTTAGTCAAATTTAATATAGCGTATAAATTGGCTACTTTCAAAGCTCCAGAAAACTATGAAAATTACTTGATTTTAAACTTTTAGTTTTTAATTCGTTTGTGCTGTGAAGAAAAACAGATTTGTTTTAGTCGCATTGCGAAATCATTATGGCGTGATGGGAATTATATGAATGCGAGAAATCATTTTATGTATGCTGATAATCCAGAAGTAAAGTTTTGTTTGTTTATAAGTTGTGCACTCTTTGATGAATGGTGGTACTCTTTAATTTCGCTGCATTCTGGCATCATCTATTAGTGCAATGTTTGGCCAGTTGTATTGGTTTGGCCAATTTAATGACAATTATGCAACAATTTCTCTTAACTTTCATATTTCATTTTCTCTTCATCATCCTTTTAATTCTTCCCTGTGCATGTTAAAATAAAGGTTTTGTTTCAGACATTTGCAATATTTCTCACTGAATATCAACTGAAATATGGCTACACTACGGAAAAAGACTTGTTCATAGCACAGGCTGTTCTACAAGTTAGTTTATTTATCTTGATATTGACTGATTCCATTTTAATACAGTAAAAATTGAAGGTTTTGGCAGAAATCGATGTTGCCTCTTAATGACTCCAAAACATTCTTGAAAACTTTTTCCTTTATACTGATGAAAACTATATTTCGCACTCATGTTATAGATGCTATGCGATCGAAGACCGAAGAGTGCCTTAAAATTACTAGAATCTTATTCTGATGTGCATCCTGATATTAGAAATGGATTTCCCTATCCATTTCCATTACTCAACTTTTTACATTATGCGATAATATGTATTGCTAATAAACAGGTGCCATTTCGAATAATTTTTGCTGAACCAAACAACTGTATTAGGAAACAGATGGAAGTCAGGATTAAATAAATAAAATGTGACCTTTATAGGTTTATATCTTATCTATTTAGTCGAGAGCTGTCAAAAAAATTCTGTAAAAAGTTAAGAATATGTCAGTTTTTATATTTATCTATTTAAATGAAGTTCATTGAATAGCAGCGGTTTATTTTAATACGACCAATTCCAGTTTCTTATAAAGCTAATATGGCATGTCTGACAAGCTTTTCCACAGATTTTGATTTATAGCTAGCATACTTCACAGTGCTGATCGAACAGTATGAAAACGAAATCAATCGTGATCCGGAGTATAAACAACTGTTGGACAGAATAGGTCAAATATATATGGGTATGCCGCAACGACAAACAGCTCGAGGTGGATTCCTGGGAAATATGATTAAAGGTATGCATGTTTTTTGATTAGTGGTATTCATGTTTCTTTTTATGAAGTAACAATTTTAGGTTTAAGGATTGCTTAGGAATTTGCTTGTATGGATTCCTTTATTGCATAGATTCTCAAAAAAAAAGTCCCTCTATAAATAAATCCTTAAACCTATTAAAATTAATTTTAAAAAATTTCCCCACGAATACAATTTATGAAAAAATTTTCTCACGAACACAATTTATTAAAATTACATTTTAAAAAATTTCCTCATGAGCACAATTCATGTAACATATCATAATTTCAGGCTTGTTAAGATCACCAGAAAATGAATCAGGAGCAATTGAAGAATTTGAAACCGATTCAGAAGAAATGCTTCACATACCGCTTAACGATGAACATGATAGCTTATTGAGTGCATCCACAAGCAAATTAGCAAGTAGGAAAAGTCATGCAGATGGAGCACAGAGCGATGGTATCACGGATGATATGGATTTAGATTGATATTTTTTTTAATTGTTAGAAAATTTTCGATGTACACTTTTTCCCTTGTACTGAAGAACTTTAAAAAAAAATAACAATGTTCAGAATTTAATCGAATTTCGTCGTTTTGGAAAATGAAAGAGATAGTTTTGTTTTGAAATTTTCAAATGATATTTTATTTTTTTACTGCCATAACAGTCTGTTATGTACATCACAAATTATACAAAATATATTATGATATACTGAGAAGTCAAATATAGTGAGTTTTTTGATTGGTTTGTTTAGAAGTGGTTCCCTGGTTACATTTTCTTTTATAAAAATGTATCGAGATTTTTTTGTTGTGACAATTATGTAATTTTTTTGGCATTGTTTCTCATCTTTTTTTACGATTTTTCCTTCTAATACGCTACAGACCTATCAATAACATTAGATGTTGACTTTCATCATTATTGCAAATCATTTGTTTGTATAACTACAATGGATTACTTTCCTTCAGAATTTTTGCACTATCCGAATCAATTCCTTAATTTAACTTTTTTTTCAAGGAGCATATTTTCTTACAAAAAATAGATTGCTGCATTTTACTTTTAAAATTAGTTTCGCGAAATTTCAGATATTTTTATTACGTAAACTTTCTCTGATATCTTAATTAGTCTTTGTATCAGATATAATTATTTTGAAAAGGAAATAATCGCTTTCGAAATACCCTTTTATGATTCGTGTCGAACTTGAATATTATTTTCTTTTTTTGTTTGTAGATTTTGGATAAACAGCTCCAATAACTCATTTATTTGAAATACCAAAGCACTGCAGATGATTGCCAAAACTTGCATTTCTATTAGCCAATTAAATGATTGTCGTCAATAGCAGGAAAACATAAAATTTCTGGTCAAATAATAGGTTGTGGATGTAGATATGAATGAGGCGGGATGTTGTATATTTCATCATTTCAAGAATTATGGCCTTCGCTACTTCCAAATTTCGAAGTTTTATTCGCCTCGCAAGTGTACAGTGCTTCCAAATGTTCAATTTAATCATTCAAAGATAGTCATTGGTAGGGATAGTCTCGCTTTGTTCTAAAATGTTTTAAGATTAACTTATTTTTTCTTCATCTATGTTATCATTTAGCATTACTCCATTTCTGTTCTGAATTTGATTTATTAAAAGTAATTGCATTTCTTTCAAATCAAATAGGATGCTGAAGATATTTTGCATTTTGTTGTATCGTCTTTCACATTGACCACATCATTCATGATTCATTTGAATCAACTTGCTGGTTATATTATAGTAAAAAATGTTTTGTCGTAATAGTTCACATGGTACCATATTACGGACCATGCTTGTGTGATTTGCAAAATTTCCATTTCAGCTAGCAATGTCAAAAGGTATCCTGCTTGGTGATAAGTTTCCGGATTTCCAAGCCGAGACCAACGAAAACTTCATTTCAAGTTTCCATAATTGGATTGGCAAAGAGTATGTGTTTATGTGTTCCATAGTAGGGTTTAAAACGATTATGTGAAGTGCGCTGTACATCGCTTTAATTGCAGTTGAGTAGATATCCCGCGAAATTCCTGTTTGTATGTTGATACAAGTTACAGTTTTTCATGGAAGTAAACGAAAGCTGAGCCAAGTAACTTTGCCACAGCTAGTTCGATTATTGTCTTTCAATGTTTTTTCACTTCATCGCTTCTTTCCGCTGTTTCAAACACTTCAAGTTATATATTCTATATTGATGTGTGCTATTCATTTTTGAGTTCTATATTGATTCTATATTATTTGAGTTCTATATTGATCTGTGCTATTCATTTTTGAAGATTCAAAATTGCAGCAATTGGGCAATACTATTTTCTCACCCACGAGATTTCACTCCAGTTTGCACCACGGAGCTTGCTAGGCTAGTTCAACTAGCGGCGGAATTCAAAAAACGAAATGTAAAGCTGATTGGTTTAAGTTGTGACTCGGCACAGTCGCATCGTGAATGGGCCAATGATATCATCGGACTGTGTAAAATGAAGTCTGGTGACTGCGGTACCAGCTGTTCAGATATTTTATGCTTTTAACATTATCTGCCATTGTTAAACTACTGAATTTTCGTTTAATCTAAAACATGATCACTACCAGTAGTAATTTCAGAATTCTTCAATATTCTACTAGTTTCACTTAACGTGGAAATTGTCACCTTTCAGGAAGCAAACTGCCATTTCCGATAATAGCAGATGAGAACCGTTCTCTAGCCAACAAACTGGGAATGATGGATCCGGAAGAGCGTGATGAAAAGAACGCTGCGTTAACCGCACGTTGTGTTGGTTTATCAGATCCTTTAAATCCTATTTTCATGAGTTTTTATCATGCTAGAAAATCAGTTTAGGCCATGTTCTGGTCAAAAATTTTGCATTATGTGTAAGAAGTATGCGAAACTCCTAATTTCATTAAATCTAATATAGTTTTTTAAAAAAGGGATTAGGCAAAGTTTTAAAAAAGGGATTCCAGCGTGTTTTTTGTGGCAGTAATGCCAGTATATTTTTTTGCAGCTGTTCATAATTGGACCTGATAAAACGCTGAAGCTTTCTATCTTATATCCTGCAACAACGGGACGGAATTTTGAGTATGTAAAACCTTGAAAATTTTTGTGGATGATAAGTTGATGGAATGAGTTCAAGGATCATTCTCTCTCCTCGAACTTCATGACTCATTCTTTGTTGCTTCAATTTCAGATTTAATTATTCAAGTTTCAAAGTATCATTTCTTTTCTAAATGAAGGCACATATTCAAAACATGTAGAATTATAGATGCTCTCTCAATTCAGATTGAGGTTCACTAAGAATGTCAAAAAATGCAGGAATAGTTTGAGTGAAATCAGAATGCAATTAGGCTAAGTGATAACACATTATATTTTCTGCGCAGTATGCCACGGAGAGATGTCACTGTTAATAATGTATAACATTTCGAGGAACAGTAGAGTGAATAAGCTTTGGAAAGTATAAGGGCTGTTCATTTGAGTTCTCAGTGGATTACTGCTTCAGTCACTGCGATACCTTTTTGAAACAATAATATACACATACTACTGCATAGCATAAAACGGTAAATATCTTGGACATCAAGACAATTAGGAATGTGCAAATATGAGCTGATTATTTTAATGCCTTCCATATTTTGTAGTGAAATCCTACGCGTTGTCGATTCGCTTCAACTTACAGCAGTTAAACGAGTAGCAACACCTGTCGACTGGAAGGTAAATATTTGTGTAAATACTGAAATGCAAGAATAATTTTCCCAATTGATATCGATAAGCTTAAGACATTTTTAAGTATTGTACTCAGTACTTTGGTGAAAATTTTTGAAGTAGAAATGCACAACGTAGGATACTGTCAATTAGTTTTGAGCTTAGAATTTGTTAAAGTATTGTTATTATTTCCACAGTTATTTATTTGTTTAACTTTTTTGACAGAGTGGTGATGATTGTGTCGTGTTACCAACGATTGATGACAACGAGGCAAAGAAGTTGTTTGGTGAAAAGATAAACACCGTTGAACTGCCATCTGGAAAACGTTACCTTCGCATGGTTACGCATCCAAAATAAGAGCACATTATTGCATTTGTTCTTAATTTTTATTGAATATCTCATTTCAATACTTACATATTTATTGTCTCTCCAGTAAACATTGTGCAGATCATGATCACTCAGGATATTCTCAATATTGTAGTATAACATATTTATGCCAAGCCCATCTTCCTTGACTCCCTTCCCACTTTCAACACTCCTATCTGACGTACATTCTTTTAGAGGTCAGAAAAGGGAGAGTTTTTATTAATATGGATACCGTTTGGAATTCATGATGTTCATCTATATAATGATTAAGCGGCAAATCACTCATGTGACAGAGAATTTCTTCTTGCCATTTCCCATCATTTTCTCTCACTTCCGTCGTTTAATTTTATCTCTTGCAGGAATTACTGCAATGAAACTTGCTTCATTCAGTCATCCTTCATCAAATATTTAAAGATTGTGATACGTATTCACTTCTTGAAGCAGACCGCTGAATTTCATGATTTTCAGCAGTAATTATTAGTAAACGAACAGAAAGTACGTACTTCACTGAAATAGAAGAAATCATACACATGGATTATTCTATACCCAACAACTTTTACTTGATAATTGCTTGGGATTGAACTGTAGTAAGAAACGAGAATAAGCTATCATTTAACTATCAGCAATTGGGAAATGAATGATAATTAAATAACCGGGAATGAATGATAACTAATTAACTGATCTATTGATTCGTCTAGGAATCATTTGCTTTTCATATGTCACATGCATCATTTGCGACCGATGGTAGAACACCAGGACATATTGCGCTATTGCAATTCGTCATACCTCAAAGTTGATTGTGAAGATCAGCGATATAATGGGACAATGTCCAGAAAATGATCTGTCTTTGTAATCGATTCAAAGGTTCTGGATTAGAAGCATAAAAGTCACTGTCTAGAAGCTTTTAAAGCCTTCTCATGAGAGACAACAACATGCTCTCTGGAAGGACATTTTAACCAATTTGCATTGTCACACAATTGACTGGAGTAGCAATATTCGCAAAAATAAGTAAAGGCATAAAGAGCAACGGCTTCAGTCATCACACTATGTATTACTTACTCATTTTATTACTCATAAAAAATCAAATAACACTGACGGTATAGAATCAGCCATAACTGTACTCTATATAAATATCCTCGCCACAGATATATGAAACCATGCATATAATTTTAAAATTTTAACGCTAAAAAAAATATTAAAACGTCAAAATCTAGTAAAAAAGTATCATAAATTGATGAAAACCATTTTACATTGTCATTCATTGCTTCCCATTTCCATTAATTGGTACTTTATCTGCATTACGCTGCTCGTAGTATTCCTTCAAAATAAGTTATTTAAATTTTCGAAGCGTCTTGATCGTAGACTTGTGTAAGTACTATTGGAAAGAGATTTAATCAAAGTAATACATATTTTTACTAATTGTTTTCATACTTCAAGAATCTTTGAAGGAATTTTGACGAAGGACGTAACCTTAAGTTTCGGTCTATCCTCCATCCGTTGCCGATACGCCTTCAAAAGCGGAAATTTATCGAGACAGTGCGGATCGAGAACCTGATGAATGTCAAGCTCTTCGAAAAGAACAAAATCTGCGAATGAAATCTAAAACTTACACTGTTTCGGTTGATGCAATATTTTTTCAAGGCTGAAAATAACAGTACTCCTTTATCATCTTTATCATCTCAGTCATGTATTATTTTTGACAAGCAACCTCTCATCAATTACTATAATCCCGGATTTTCTGAAATCAATTACAATTTAATCAAGATTTTTTGAACCTTGTCTCCCAGGATGAAATTTTTTCCATTGTCTCGTGTAGCAAGCAATCTCTCAAGCTTTGCCAGTTCAGCTGGTAGTATATTTTTTATATAGGGACCCTTGTCAGTTTCCTAAAAAGCAATGAGTACAATCTTGTTTTGAATGATATTAAATTCATGAGTGAACTAGTTCAGCAACAGTTGATCATGGACCAGTTGCTGAACTTAATTTTCTGATTTTTTGATTCTGACTTTTTCTCTCTTACCTTTCTCTATACAAAATTTTTAACGTTATGGAATACACACCACACCATACAAAAATATGAAATGAGGAAAAAATCCAAATCATATCATTTCACTTCAATGTCTGCGAGAATAATTTCCACCTAGTCAACAGTTTCGTAAATTTAATAGCACAATTCTAAGTGGAAAATATTTACATAAGCCTGATAAATCATTTTTGTATATTTGTTATGTAGATCACGAAGGCCTTCATAGAACATATCAGCATATGTCGTTTCCAGCTCATTTCCACCATTCAAATCTATATAAAAGAGACATCAAGATTAAATGTGTAGACAAAACATTTGCAATCTACACACACCGAAAACGGTTACCCAGAAGCCGCTTCACCAACTGTCTTTTTCTAACCCTTTTTTTAAGTCTAGCAGAAAAAATTAATGTGTGAGAACACAATAGATAGTTACATACTGTGTTTGCGAGCAAGATGTCTCAGGATAGCACCGGACTGGACAATTTGTTCATCATCATCGTAAAGACAAGGTAGTTGCTCGAATTGCTAAACAAAGAATAGACATTATTTTTTCCAATTTTTATGTGATTACAAATAGTGCTATATTTACGGTTTAAATAAATATTACGTCACAAATGGCTTACGAATTGTGATTTCATGGCAGGCCAATCATTTCTATTAATGCGATCGTCAGTAAACTTTATACCTTGATCAATCAGTAGTAGACGAATTGGCTCAGCCAAGCCTAAATGAAATGAAAAACCTGAGGGATGATAAATGAATAAAAAGAGAAGATTGCAGTTAAATGGACTAAGGGTTGTAGATCACGGTCATTTGTAGTTTCATGACATATGATAATTCTATGATAATCAGGTTATCTAGTAGTTTGATCCCTTGACTTGGTGATAGTGTTCCTTCCCCTTGATTTTTCAGTCGCAAGCTTAATCAACGTCTAGTCCTATTCAACGGTCTCCATACCATGAAAACTTGCCTCGGATAGGGAAATACGTCAATTTGTAATTCATTGCTCAGTGATGCGACTGTTCACCTGAAAATATTCTTGGAATAACTGATATATACATGAATAACATGCGCTGCATTACTTATCGATACCGCGACTTCAAGGCCTTTTAGGTAAACCGACTTGATTGTCATAATTTCATATTGAAGCAGTGATAAACCATGCCGCTGCCAACATGAATAAAATTCCAACAGAATGCGAATCAGGAAAATATTTGAGAATTTTTCCAGAGAAAAATTTAGACAAAAAATTGGGAAAAGATTGATTAAGAAAAGGGAAAGGGACTTCAATAATGATAATTAATTACATCAATTAAAAAGTACCACTGAACATCTTTCCCACTGATACGTTTCTCTAACAGTTAATTTTTTTTCCGCTTTTGGAAAAACACAAATGAATCATTGATAGCGATTTTGCGCAGAGTGAAACAGAGGGGTAATTTGCAATAAAAATAAATATGCATTTCAAATGAAAGCAGTTCAGTCTGTAATGGATGACATAATGAGGTGTCACATTGCTCGAGCGGCAGTGCAGTAACTTTACTCCGTTGAAACGGACAATTTCACTAGTTGATAGTTTAGTTATCAACTAAATTACTCAAAGAATAACCATATGCAAACCCAACTTTAACATACACTTCCTTTAGAAAGAAATCACAAACTAACCATTGTTTATCATCATTCTTTCTTACTCCAATAACTTTTCCTATCACTTGGAAAATTAGTTCTCACTGATGAATCAATGCGATCCATCCAAGATTAATCGCTCTAAAATTAACCCCCGCCGAACAGGAATAATCGAGCATAGAAAAATCAAGACAAATACACAAGATATCCTACAGTTAATGTGTGAACCCCATCTTTATTTTCTATTCTTCTCTCCTTCTGTCTTCACAGAAAGTACGGAAAAGGAATGGGAGGGAATAGAGAGAATAATGTTAGTAGGAAGAACGTTGTGAAAATACTCCGAGATGAATTTATAAATTTGCATTCCCTTGCAACATATTACGTATATAAATAGTTATATAAGCAATCACTCTTTAAATATGTCTGAAAAGTTAATTTACACATGCTCACCTTTTGGAGGTAATTAAATCAATGAAAATGGAAATAAATACAACCCTCCGCAACACTCCGTGATATATCGAGACTGTTCCATGCAAGAGTTACAAAATTGCAATACATGCAAATCGATCTTAGAAAGATAATCGGTATTCTGTACTTTATTTTTAAGAAGCAAAAAGAGGCAATTTTTAGATCAGTTAGAGCAGGGAAGATAACAAAAGCTTGATCCTAGGCTATTAAATGGATTGATTTGCTATTTGTACATATCTTTCCAACTATATCCTTCTCAGACCTAGGAAGAATTTCCTTACCAATATAGTGCTGCAGTAGGGAACAAGTTCGAAAAAAGAAAGAGAATGGGGAGAGTTATAGGCTACGAGGGAAGGTGACTTTGAATTGGTGGAAGATTAGACATGTATCATTCGGACACTTGTTGTGCGTGATTTCCTCTTTCTTATTTGAAGAATAGTCACTAGATGACTCTTTCTTGTGTTACGCAGTCGATCAATTGATAAGTTTACCCGCCTAATAGATATGTCATATTTTCTCACATTTATGCCGATAACAGTTTAAATGATTTCTACAAGAGGCATATTAATAGCATTAAATGCGTTCCATATACGTAAAATTTTTACCTAAAATTTTAGCGGTGTGGATAGCGATGGAATGAATTCGAAGGTAATGCCGTAGCTGTTTCAAAATGAAATCAAAGTTCCCATCTTTTCTTTTTCTTCAACGGGCCCTAAATTTGTTTTATTTGCACGGCTGATCAACACAGTAAATTGATCTTCACCGAACGTGTCTGCTTAGTTGAAATATCGTCATAAGTTAGCATACCGTAGTAACTGTGGAATACTTTTATCTTTATCGAAGGAGTGTAAACTTATGAAATGGTAAATCTAAGACAAATGGATGCGAAAAACTGAATTTAATTCGAGTAACAATTAGAAATGCGCGTGTGTGAATGTGCGTACAGAGAAGAAAAATACTTTGAAAAGAGATGCGAGGTGGAAGATCGTTATCTAAAATATTATCTAAAATCAAATGTTAGTGCGAAAATTCAGTATGTTTTGTGAAATAAGTTCTCTCTTCCCTTTCGAAAACTTCAGTATGCTTCGTGAAATAAGTTTTTTTCCTTATTTGACTGATGTTTATGTCTTGCTTTTATGAATCGCTCGGATTTTCATTATTTTGAAATAGGACGATTGAATTAGATGTATGAATGTTCGCAGATGACAAGCTGGGTAGATGATGGTTTTTTGTAGTTGCTAAATTACTCCTTAATCAGCGAGGTAACTGGAGGTAGGAATTAGTCTCGCAAAAGCGAGACCGCATTGCTCTTATCTGGGTCTCAGATTGGCCTTTTATTTGTAACATTTTTCGAATGTAGTTAACTGAATCCACGTGCATCTTTGATTCACCGAATCATCTAATTCCAGTATATTGTGCTCCTGCTTGAGGCATCCCGAAACGAACCTATAGCATTAAATCATTTCTGATTGATTACATGCTTCATATGTCTCAAAGTTTCATTCTCCCATACGCAAGATAAAATAACCTACTCAAATTCTATGAATATCTCTAGAATTAACCTGTTTCATTAACTGATAAATGTGTAATTAATTTGCTTTTGGTATAAGGCACAGGGAGTTCTTTAAATTATGCTAATTATGTATAAAAAGTATCCTCAAATTGGACATTGGATGGTATACTTAATCAAATCTTTGGATTGTTGGGGTGTCAGATGTTGCAGTGTAGAGTGCCTTCAGAATTTGCACTAGTTTATGAATAGATTCCATCTGAATGTTGAATATAATATATTAATCATAATAGTGTTTCCTCAGCTTCGTCCGATTTCTTCACATTATTCAGTTTGTTCATTTTCAGGTCTCACTGTTTGTTGTTTGTTATACAAAGAGCCCCTATAAATTGCACAATTCTAAAAGAATGACCAGTTTGCAAGACTTTAATAATTTAATCACTCGCATGCTTTTTCCTGAAAATGAAGCGAGAAAAGAAGCGGAAAAACAATATGATCAAATTGAATTGTTACCAAAGACCCAGCTGCTGTTTCAATTATTTATGGACCAAAGTGCTGGTATTGAGGTATGGTTCCCTGAGCTGTTTTTTTGCAATCCATGAGAATAGGATTCGCCAGAAATTTCGTCATAGCTTGCAACATCTTACAGAAGAGATAGTCTGCTACCGTTGTCTTCATTCTGGTCCAAGATTTACATCGTAATCAACTTGAGAGATGAAAGAGATTCTAATAAAAGATAAATGCGAAAGAATGTTTTATCCCTTTTCAATTATTGGATATGGTGATGCAGTGTTGTGCTATATTGAGAGCAACTATGTTGCATCACAGATATCATTCATGATACAAATTCCATAGCAAGTAGAGTATTTTCTGAACGTTCTGAATGTGTTTTATAATTTCCAGACACGGTCATTGTGCCTAGTGTTAATGCGAAGAATCCTTTCAAACCAATGGGATGAGTTATGGCCTGCTTGGTCTGAGGAAAATCAGCGGCAGTTCTGCGAGCAGCTTTTAAAATCAGCAACTGAAGAACAAAATTCCGTGTTGCGGAAACGTTTAACTGATGTTATTGCCGAAGTTGCCCGGTCTACTATTGGTATTTAATCTTTTTTATTTTTCTCGAGCTTCCTTCTTTGAATGAAAAATTTTGGGTATGATGTACTCGGCATTTTTGGGTTTGATTTATCGAAACATTTTCAAGATAAATTTCAAAAGATAACTGGGTTGATTCCATAAGTCCGAAACATTTTTGCGAAATAGTGTTTGAAAGATCTTTCACATATTTTTTATACTTTAAATTAAAATCTATGACTTTTGTTCCTGGACACTACTATTTGTGATTTGTTTTGTTTTCGATTCTTTAATGAATCATTTAGAAAATATTTTAGATACTGGAACAGGACGCCAAACTTGGTCAGGTGTTATTCAGTTTTTGGAATTATGTGCTTCTTCAGATGATCCCATGTTACGCGAAACAGGCATGATTTTACTGGAGTGAGTTGGCTGCATCGTTTTATGGGTTGTACTGGATCTTATTTAAGATTGATACTTTTCGTCACTATGTAGTCAAAAAGTCATGAATTTTTTAACTATATATTATTAGCTATTTCATAACATCGTAATAGTCCGACTTTAAACTTTTTTCAGAAATTAATGTGCATTTAATGAATGTATTTTACAGGAATGTTCCATCCGTTTTTGGATGTGATCAAGATCGATATATTCCTGGAATTAAACAAATGTTCCAGTCTTCATTGCTTTATGGTAGCAAGGGATCGGTTAGGACTGCTGCAGTACGCGCATATGTTGCTTTCATGTGTGAAAATGAAGAAGATGACAGAGTTATTAGATCGCTATCCGATCAAGTGCCAGCAGTTATCCAGGTGAATTAAATGTTTTTATGTGATTTTTCCGAATTTTCCACCTTCTTTTTTAGTTTCGACTAAAAAATATCAGGTCGACATTACTCACTGATACTGTATTTTTTCATTCGGTATTTTTATATAATTTAAGGCATCAAAAACTTGTTGCAGGTGTGTCAGTATGTGGTAGCTACGGAAGATGACGATGATGTACCGTTGCAATGCTTGGGAGACCTTGCAACAAGTGTCCCGAAAACTTTGCAGCCACATCTAAATGAAGTATTTACACTCTGCACATCGGTAATGCTCTCACCCGTTTATCAGTTCATATTACACAATTTACACTTTGTGAGATACAATAGCTTCAATATTCAACATCTCCCTGCGAGAGAAGTTGAATTGAATAACGAAAACCAGTATGGATATATTACTAATCTCCGTTTCTATACTTTAGCTCACTAATCGGTTTTGAAAGATATTGCATCACTCTTTAGAGGAATAAATGGTGTACAGCATCCACTTTTTTACAAACGCATAC